TCGAGTCTAAGTGCCGTTTACATGTAGGATATAACCACCGTAAGTGAAATAATCTTCTACTCACTGGTAGGCTTTGAATGTTTAAAAAAAAATTGCTCATCAGTTGAGGTGGTTGGGACATGTGTTACGTATGGCTAACCACCGACTGCCTCGGCCAGCGACTTTTTGTGGTGTAGGAGTAGGTTGGAAGAAAGTTAGTGATGGCCACGCCAAAACATGGCATAAATGCATGAAGTCACTGACAAGTGGACTGAGTCATGTAGGTAGATGTAGACTACCTTGTTGGGGTCCGCGAGACGATAGTCACCGATGCTTAAAGACCTTGAATGACATGGCTCAAAATCGTTTGCAATGGCGCAGGTGCATCCACCCTTTGTGTTCTCTTTAATTCTAAACTTCAGAATTCCTCATAATCTTTATCTTTCTTCTAAATTTATCTTACTGAATTATACTTCTCGAATCATATCTTCGCTCCTTAATCTTCTCCATTACTTCTAATACTTCTACTACCCCTATCACTCTTGGATTTGAACTGACAGTCGCGTCTCTGTGCTGATGGGGCATGACAACCTGAACTGATGTACTTACGTACGAAGTTCTGCGTTGTATCTGTCTGTCTGTCTGTCTGCCTGACGTTCATTACCTAATGTTTCAAATATGATAATTAGGTGTAGGAATGTGGGTTGTATTTGGTCTTAATAATTTTAAATTTCTTTTTCAATCAAGTATTTACAACTCACATGCATATTACATATTCGTATCTTAGTCAAACATACACTCTTTTGCTTTTGAAAGAATGTTTAGCACGTTTGGATATGATTCACTCTTAACCTTTTTCGGGATAGGCGATACATATCAGTGAATTTGGTAACGCAACTGCCACTCAGTTTTCAATATAAATCATTTATTGAGTACTGCATATATAAAAGCATAATTTTCATTAGAAAGATTTTAATTTTAGGCTTTAACTTTCAATTTACTTGCTTTTTTCATCTGAACTGTTGGATTTAGCTATACTGACTTGTACATAAAGAACGTATGTGAATAACTTCAGATGAGTGAAATAATTTCCGCAAAGAAAATTAAACTCTTCTATTGATGGGGATGTTAGATCCCCAAAAAAGGGCTTGATAAATGCCTTATTTTGGTTTTCACGTTTGCCAGCATGGACTGATCAGTTGACCTTGAGATTTCATTTCCCACCATGAAAATCCGTGGCTGTGATTGGCTGCTGTGTATTTTAATGTGCTATTTTCGTAACTGTCCCAAGGACGTTTCTATGATGTATAAATAAACGAGAGTTGTGTGCTTGATTGTACTGTGATTGCTGGGTGTTTGTAGAATATACTTTCTACGCTTACAAAGCCTTCTTACTCTATTTTGGGGATTCAAGGTAGCCTACCTGGACGCTGGTAACTGTCTCGTTCGCGTTTATCGACTAAGGTAAACTCGTAATAGCCTCAAGCACACTTAGTGACGAACCCAATATCTATGCATCTATCACTGGACACAATGAATGAACAGAAAACATGATTGGAAATGTTAGATATTGCACTTTTATTGGATATTAAACATGTGAGTTTACATTGACACTGATTCCATACTTTTCTTTTGACTATAAATTAAATATTTCTCACTGTACAGTGAGAAAATATGCGAACTAAATCAGATTCAGGGATAATTGCATTCAGCAAATAGCAATTTATATCCTATCCTATCATATTGTTTATGACTTGATGAGTTTGTTGCACGGATTTGAATGATTAAGTTTTAATATGATCACAGGTCTATGAGATTGTGTTTAGATAGTTTCAATGGAAGCTCTAGACTGAGTACGTACAGTTAGACAAAATAGACTAGACATGTTATAACCGAAGTAAGCGGTGCACACATATACTGGGAGAGAAAGAACTAAGATAAAAGCAAATCGTTGACAAGGCTAAAAGACGGGCGGACAATAACTCGGGCAAAATAAATTCGTTAACTTGTCCGAAGGCTTGAAACAAGCCCTACGTGTTTAACTTAAAAGTATACCCATTACAAGTCTAAAGTTCAAATGCTTGCCATAAGATTTCAAGATCCAATGTTCGATCTGTAATAGATTATTCAAATAATAGTCATGACCAATGGTGGACGACATTTCGTGACATGAATACGAATCAGTCTTTAATGGCTCAGACACTGAGATCAAGTATTTCTTCACACAAACATTGTCACTGTCTTTTCTATCATATTATTTCCATTTCTATTTAGTACCGAACCTTTCAAAAATTCATCCAAGTCGTATTCACGCTACAAAACAACTTCAATTAACACACGCAAGTATGATTTAGTGTTGATTAGGCTTGACTGAAAACAGTAGAATTCTTAGGTTCTTAGTACTGTTGACACACAAGATAAATAATTCATACAATACGCACCTTCTAATTTTTTCAAGTTATATTGTAGTGCCTCCACATATATTCCAGTTTGCTTACATCTAACTTGGTTAAGCCCTTTCGATTAATTTATTTAACCAAGCCATAATTTGTATTGCAACAATTTATTTGTACCATTCGTTCTTATTATTGTCTGGTTTGTATGAGCTCACATGACGTGTCCCACTTGTCATTTGACACCTTGTCAACCATTCGTCGCTTTTGTTCATGTGTGTGCATGCCTATTTCGCTTGTCATATGTCTGTCTTATTTTTGTCTGACTACATATTCTTATTCACGCTCTATCTCAAGGAGTTGGCTCAACAGCCTTCTCCAATTCACGTCGCTTCATTCGTTTTATTCACTACTTCTCCGCTTCGCTTTGTGGTGTGTCCCAAATAAACCTATTCAACACTACAAGTTTACCTTCTGATTTATAAACCGTCAGACGCTATTCAATAACGATTGTCTGGACGAGCTAATCACGAAGCATTAGAACAGACAGTAAATTGGCACACTACAATATATGGTGAACAGGATCCCAAAACAAAAAAAAAGACTAAAGTTATCATTGCTCAAAACTTTATTGAAATCAGTCGAAAAACAGAAAAAAAAAAGTTGAAGAAAACATGATCAAATAAAGCCTTTTTGCAAAAAGTCATTTTAATTGGTTTCAACAACAACAACAACAATAACGACAAGGACAACAAGACGAAGAACAACAACATCGACAGAAAAAGAAACACACATACAGAAAAGATACAAATATGAAAAACAAACAGAAAAATCAATCTCTGTTTTTCTTTTTTTTTGATTTATTATACCATTAAAACTATGATTATAACAAAAGAAATTTTTTGTACAATCTCGTTAATAATCTCAGAAAAAAGCACACACAGAGAGAGAGAGAGGCAATGGTTAGGCTAGCTAAATTGACTTATTCATTATTCTAGTCATAAATGCTTTTCTGAAAATGTAATATATATATGAATATATATATATATGCAAGTTAAAATAGAGAAATTAAAGAACATTACAGTAGTCAGTAATAATATTCGAAGTAATTTTAGTAGTAGTCGGTGTAGTAGTAGTAGTAGTACTCGTAGTACTAGTGGTATTTTAGTAAGATCAAAAAACAAATGGTAGTCAACACAAGTAAAAGTACAGAAATAGAATAAGATTAAAATACAAAACTGATTAATTTTTGCTGCTCAATAATTCATTAACTGAATAAAATAGGAAAAAGAAGCAATCGATTATGATATGTTCAGTGTGTATTGTATTGATATGTTTCAAAGGGTGGGGGAAGAATAAATTGAAAAATCACACATAATCCTCTGTGTTATAACTACGAAACGAATAAATTAATTTAAATCTTGGAATGCAAACAATTTATTTATAATATAATATAAACTCGGTCAGTCCAATATTAATGATAACAAATTTATGCGAAACATTTTTAACTACTTATAAGTAGCTAACTGTCAAACAATAAAATATCTGTCTGACCTTGGAGAATTATTATTGCAAAAAAAATATTATAGAGAAACAAACGCACAAGGCAATTTGGTCGTTGTAACATCCACCTACCACTCACTGCGCTTTATATATGTTACATGTGTGCTCTAAAATTATGTGTAATTAATATGTGAAGTCAATTAAAAGAAAGAAAAATATATGCACGTACATATTATGAATAATGCAACCAGCGAAGAACTGAAAAAACAAGTCGATGAATTATTACTGTAATATAAAAATTATTTCGATATGCACTTTTTTGGGGGTTGGTTTTATTTTAAAAAAACTGATATGGGAGGGTTTACTTGGCATATTTTAATTAGCGATAACCGCACCTTAGATAAACTTGATTGGCTACGGTACCGCCATTGCGTGAGTTCTCCTTCTGAAGAAAATGATGATGAGGATGACTGTAGATTGACATGTTGTACGGCTTTTTTTTTCATTTTTTAAACAAAAAAAATGAAAAAGACCAATTACATGAAAGAAAATTTTTTTTAAAAAAACCGTTTTTCAATCAATGAATATATGTATAAATGCGTCGGCAATAACAGAAAAATGAATGAAGGCAAAATAAGACAGAGAGAGAGAGAATTTAAAGGTGAAATACAATTGCAACAAACCCTTTTACTTTAAATAAACAGTTTCTGTAAATGCAAAATTTGACTAAAAAAAGAATTCTTTATGAAGAGAGCAAGAGAGAGGAAAAAAGACAATGCACACAGAATGAATGATGATATGTGTTTGTAATCAAAAAAAGAGAACTGCAATCAACTACTTACTACTTACTACTTACTACTACCTAACCAATTATTAGACTACTTACAAAATTGTAAGCGTTCATTGCAGAAATATGCATACCAACAACAGATTGATGATGATGATGATGATGAACAGACAGGCACAATCTCACCATGTTATTATATAAAAGAATTGAGTAATTTAAACAAAGATAGAAAGCAGAAAATTTCAATAATAAATAATGAATATAAAATAATTTTCAAGTCAACATTATTATTATTATTGTTGTTTCTTTACTAAATCTACAAAAGAAAACAATGAATTTTAAACTATAGTATCCCAGTTGAATTCTTCTAATGGTCGATGATTATTCACAGTTGAGCTAATGTTATTACTACTACTATTAGTATTATTATGAGTAGTATTGGTAGTAGTAGTAGTAGTAGTATTAGTATTAGTAGTAGTAGTCATATTATGAATATTACTACTAAATAAATTCATGGGAGTATGTTGTGACAATTGTTGACTGATTGGCATATGATTAGTAGTAGTAGATGTAGTAGTAGTAGTAGTAGTAGTAATGGTAGAAGTAGCAGTATTGATCGCAGACTGACATAGACCTGAATATCTTTGATTATCTAATAACAGCAATCGATTCTGATGATGATGATGTTGATGTTGATGTTGAGGATGATGATAATGATTATGCGTTGTTAGTGAAGAGGATTCAATGTAATGCGGAGAAAATAAAATTGAAGGTGGTGGCGATGCTGACGATGAGGAACAGAGTGTAGTGCTAGAAGGTATATTATTATTATTACTATTATTCATAAAATACTGTGTAATAGGTAATCTAAAATCTGTTGTACAATGATGTTGTGAAGAATTCCCATGAAATGATTGTTGTTGTGTTGTATTCAATGCAAATTTCTGTTCAATAATATCCAATGACTGAGAATTGTTTAAATCATAAAAAGAACAATCGGTGTTGTTGTTATTTGAAAGTTGAAATTGTTCAATTTGATGATTATGCTCAAAATGATGAGGATGATGATGTTGTTGTAAATGATTACGATTGTTTAAAATTGAATGTTGATCATCGCCATCTTCATGCGGAGCAATGTTAGTCATGTTGTACATTTTAAACTTCGAATTATTACCATTACCATTATCATTATTAAATAATATATGCTGATGGTGAGGAAGTTTATGCTGAACGCAATCATCATGATGACGATGTTGATGAGACTGGAAAAATCGATTGGATGTTTCAGTGCATAGCTCCGACAGCGAGGTTGCTGTTGTTGTCATTGTTACACTGGATGTCGCCGTGGATTGTGGAAGAACAGTGACTAGATTAATGAAATTTTGTGGAATTATCGAATGCTCAGTTGTATTCATCATCATCAATTTCATAGAGTTATCACTATTATTATTATTACTATGATTACCATTATGGATACTTTGTAATTCTGAATAAATCATATTATTCTCATTGGTGCTCAATGTGGAATCAGTGAAATGATCTGATTGAACTGGTGAAAAATAAAAAGAAATAGGATTATTAGTTGATGAGTCAAATAGCTTTGGACTCTGTTCCACCAAATGATGGGACGGATGACGATGAGAATGATGTTGATGATGATGATGATTTCTTGAAGGATGATGATTGGTGAATTCACTCAATGAATTATGATTATGTAATTGTGGTATATGTGAATGCAATGAGGATTGAATAATTGTATTCTGTAATTGATGTTGTTGATGATGTTGATGATGATGAGCAGGATGATGATGACTATCATGATGATCGTGATAATTTGAATTTGAAAATGAATTATGCAATAGTTGATTGTCATAGGTTGAATAGTTGTGATCAGTGTAAACTGAATTCAAGATAAGAAACACGGGATTTTGAATACAGTTTCAGTATTCAGCATCATGAAGAGAAAATACAAATATGCAAGTTAATTATGTTTCATATTGGCGAATAAATAAAGGCGGAGAGACTATAATTTATGAACGACCTTTAAAAGGTATTTAAATGACCTTGGGAAACCTTAATTACTTAGGAAGGCCAAAAAAGGGTTTTATTTATGATTAAGTATGAGGAACTAGGATGATCAGTTAATGTCAGTCAATCAGTAACAACGTAGAACTTGGTATGTATGTACATAATTGCAGGTCGCTATACCACATTAACACAGAGACACAACTGTCAGTTCAAATCCTATAGTGGTAGAGATAGTAGAAGTATGAGCAGTAATCAGAGAGATTAGGGTTCGAAGAAATTATTCAAGAAGTATAATTCAGTAAAATGAATTTGGAAACAGTAAGATAGACTTTGAGCCGTATCACTCAAGGTCTCTAATCATCGGTTAGTATCGTCTCGCGGACCACAATCAGCTAGTCTACACTTGCCAACATGACTCAATCCACTTGTCAGTGACTGCATGGGTTTGTTCCAGTTTTGTTTTGGCCGACTCTAGCTTTCTTCCAATCTAATCCTACACCACAAAACATCGTTCGTCAACTGATGAAGTTTCAATGCTTCATCTATGGATTTGCCATCTCTACCTAATACTCGTTTCTTAACGACAAACACTTCATACTCGGTTGTCCCAGGATACACGAGCAATGCTTCGAAGATATCTATAATCGAATATTAATAACCTATAAATATTCTCGACTCTTACCGACCATGTTTCGAATCCGAATTGTAGGGCGGAGCGAACGACTGCGCAGCGCACTCGTCCTTTCGTTAACAAACGGATATCTAGCCTATGCCATCAGTGATGTAAGTTGGCGAAAGCTAGTCGAGCCTTCTATATCCGTGCTGAGATTTTGTCAGTCACCTGGCCATCAGCACTAATAATACTCACAAGGTAAGTGAAGCGGTCGACACGCTCAACTACTTCAATCTCTATCACTAGTTCAGGTGCCGATGTAAGCCAACATTTTTCATTTCGAGGGGGAAAACCACATCCCGAACATGCATGCGTTGTTGCTTAGAGTTGACAAAAGACTGCATTTTGTCAGCGTCTTCACTAATTAGGACTATATCATCGGCATATCCTACGTTAATAAGCGAATCTCCTGGTAGAAGATCCACCCCTGAAAAGTCAGACGAAGATAATGTTAACTCTAAAAGCATGCCTATGACAAAGTGAAACAAGAATGGAGTGAGTGGACAGCCCTGGCAGACACCACTTGAAGTAGAGAATTCCGATGACAGTTCTCCATAAACTCTAACTTGACAGTAACAGAAAATTTATTTTCTTAAAAATGTTTCATCTACATAAATAGCCTTTAACATTTCATGAATTTCCTGAAAGTTTTTTTCAAGTTTAACAATAAATTTACTGGTAAGTTGTTTTTCATACCACATATTATATAGTACTGGATCTAATATGCAACATTAATGCCACCCACTTTAATTTATAAGTGGCTAGATTACAAATTTTGTCTGATAAAATTCAACTAGAACTTATTATCATCGATTTTATTTAGTATCATAGTATTATGGAGATCCTTGTTTTAACACAGTGAATTTATGTAAATGGATTATTGTTTCGTCCTGCTAGTTGCAGGATTCGAACCCAGAACCTTTGGCCTAGCGCACGAACCCTGAGCCTCCTTACTAGTGACTAGCTCCGTGAGGAAATTCTCGGAGTACTATTGAGACTATGTGACCACTGGAGTTTAGCCTTGTCTGGTGTAGGCTGTAACTACCAGAGACAGTTGGTGCGGTTGCGCGAAATCCTTAGATTGACCGAAGTTAGACATTAAAATCTTTGGATGCCAGCTTATTGATCCAGAGGTTAAGCTTTCGCGGGCAATATAGAAGGTTGTGAGGTTCTAGTCCTACAAGCAACAGGAGTCTTGGATGTGCACTGTGGATGGGTCCCATATCAGAGTGAAACAGCCATCTTTCAGTGCTTACAGGTTTCTAATGATGGTCTACTAATGACTCATTCATAATTTCAATGTGTAAAGTCAATTTTTATTACTTCAATGAGTATATAAATCATCAATAATCATTGGGAACAATCGCAGAAGAAACAAAGACACAAATAATCAAATCATTATAGAATCTCTAACTAACTAACTAACTAACTAACCTGGTTGGTTTGAATCATCAATGTCATTGTCAAGCTTCATTGTTGTCCATACAAGATTGTTTTGATTAGTCATCGTCTCATCAAGTGATTGGTTATTATTGACTAGACTAGTAGCAGAAGTGGAGCAAGGAGTGGAAGTACTAGTAGTAATAGTAGTACTGGTACCAGTAGTAGTAGTAGTAGCATTAGTAGTAGTATCGATCATAAAATTATTCCCACTATTGTTCAATATCATATTCTCATTAACAACACTTTTGGAATGAATGTATGCATTGGAAAAAATATCAGAAATATTTGTATAATTAATAGTATTAGTTGTAGTATTACTATTATTTGTGTTAGTAGTATTAATATGAGACAGTAAAGAATCATTGTTATTCATATTATTACCAGGATGACTTATCACTTTTAATCTGTCGTTCGACATCATATTAGTAGTATTAATAGTATTACTATTATTACTATGATTATTATCATTATGATTAGAAATAGTACAAACTGTTTCAGGATAGCTTAATCTATGATCTGATTGATGATGTTGTGTAAGATAACGATGAAGATTTCTAGGAGGAACATTAGGCGCTGTTGTTGTAATTGTTGTCGTCGGTGTGTCAACAGCATCAGTATCAGTATTGATCATTGACTCATTGTTGGTGTTTGTTTGAATTTCTTTCATACAACTATTGTGTTGTGATCTTCTTATGCAATGCTTGTCATCATGCATTGTATTGATTTGTTCCAATGATAATATGGAATGATGTAATTTTGTTGAAGTAATATCAGAGGTAGACAACATTGTTGAAGTAGACGAAATTAGTGAATTATTCTGTTGAATATGACTGAATAATTGATCAAGTGTTAAATTCAATTCTATTAATTGTTCAATTGTTAAACTATTTGGATGTTGACTAACACTACGAATTTTCGATATTAATTCTTCATGATAAAAAAAAGTTTTAAACAAGAGTATAAGAGTACAATATTACATCAGTATAATAATAATAATAATAATAATAATAATAATAATAATAATAGTGATAACAGAATACAAATAAAACTGAATCAACAGATTTCTACCACTCACAACTAGAAAAAGCACTTGTATAGAAACTCTTCAGCAGCGTAAATAATCTATGATTCCATTGTACTCAGTCAGTCAGATGCAACGTAGAACAGTACATCAGTTCATGTTGCCATACCACATCAGCACAGAGATTTAATTGTCAATTCAAATGCTATAGTAGAAGAGGTAGTAACGGTATTAGAAGTAATCGGAGAGGCTATCACTTCCCGGCTGCCCATACCGTGGAAGGTTGTTTCTTGAGGGATCTCAAAAGGAAGATAGATTAGTGTTGGACTTGGAGACCTGGGTGTGTGACCGCAGAGTCCAAGGGACAACTGTTCGAGGCCGGTCATGCACGGCCTTTTTATGAAAGGTATTTTGAGGATTAGCTCCGTTCTTAAAGGCCCTTAGTGGGCACAATTACCCAAGGAGACGGAAATCCGTGAGGTAGGGTGAGGTGTGACATTTTTAGGGTCGACCTTTTCTAACCCTTCCTTCCTTGTGAGAAGGCAGCATCGCTGCAGATGCTGGTTGTCCGAGTGAAACACCTTACTGCTGTCACACTTCTCTGCAGTCAGCAGTACGACTTCGCCCTCAGATCTTGGTTAGCTGTTTTTAGTCTCATCTTTCTCCAGTCGACCTGCCTGGCATGGTAGGACCTGCAGGAACATATGTTCCAGCCAGTATAGCTCGGTTGGGTCATCACGATAGGCAAGTCCGACCACCACGTCAAGGTAGCAGCTACGGTCGGGATTCCATTGTACTAGGTTGAAACAATTGCTAAATGCTTTTTAGTTTGTTGTAGTTGGTCAACTAATGTAAGAAGAAAAAGTCCGAAAATCTTCACAAGTGTCTATACACTTATTTTTATCGTTGATGGCATATGAAACAACCAAATCAAGAGGTTTATATAACTTAACAGTCAAGTACAGATTTCAGTATGTGTAAAATTTACCTAAATTAAACTAAGTAAATGCAATTCAAACCAATAATTCTATATGCCTGTTACCCCTTATGGAGTGTATAGGCCTCTAACCAGAGTTCTCCAACCTACCCTGTTTTGGGCCATCCTTTCTAGTTCCAAAGTGCTAAATATGATAACTATTAGTTCAATAATTCGACATCGTAAATACGCAGAAATGAGAAGAATAAGAGTCAAGTAATCATGGTCAGTGTGTATGAGAAAATACACGTCTGTAAATAATAATAAGTAGGGAACCAACGCTTAAATATCGATTCATAACCAATGAATTAGCTACTATTCCTATTAGAAAACTAACGCCATAAGTCAATACACACTGAGAAATTAGTTAGTTGAAGGTAATCAATAAAAAGCCGTGATCCTAAAATTGGGACTGATTGTCACTCTTCAACAGTTAATATCCCTAATCTAGAGGCTACTGGTTCTCCTTCTGTAATGTCTGTCACAGTCAAAAGATCTATTCATTGGGTTATTCCAGTTTTTGAAATCAATGTTTACATCTGTGGTAAATCTATTATTGCCAATGAATTCTTTATCGACAATACAGTCTGTTTCTTTCCATCGAATCTTATCAGTCTTGTTACGTCATAACCATTGTGTCTCCAAAAGCAAACTACTACAGTTTAACAGAAAAGTGTTCGGATGAATATTACGTGGTAGCGTCTTAATAGAATGACTCAACACACCAACTACTCTGTTTCACACAACTATTCTCCTCTATAATTAAAAAAAACACACACATTCAATTCATGAGAATTAACAATAAAAACACAATTCATCTAGTTCACTGAATAATATCAGTATTATTTCTGATAAAACGTTTGTTTGCAAAATCGAATTCTATGAAGTTTATAAATATCAATCAAGAGGCAACATTGTACACAAACTCGCAAAGTGAATTGTCAAAAATGTGATAGGTTTTCATGTCAGGTAAGTAAGTATATACTGTATTTAGTTTTAATATATATATATATTCAGTTATAAGATGTATATATATATATACAATTAGGCAATTCATAGGCACGGTACACTCACTATACATACACATATATATATGTATAGAAATGGGTGTGGCAATAGATTTAAACAATGCATGAATAAACAATGTTATGCCTACTATTAGCTAGCTGATCAGCATATATATATATATATATATATATATATATATATATCGATTGAGCTCATTTGAGTGAGTAGTGTTTTACTGTTTGTTTGTACTAATTTCCCACAATGAAAAGAATAAAACCACAAGAAGTAGTCAATCAGTTAATTTGTCTACCATTTTGTTAAAGATTATCAATAAACACAACAGTATCATTCCAGACGGTGCCATCCTCATCATCAGCATCGCCGACCAACACCAGAACTAGACAACATGATTGAAGGAAAATATCAAACTAACTAACTAATCAATGGAAAAAAGAAAAGAGAGACACTTCGTCGGTATGCAGATTCTATTCATCAACTAGAACGTCGTAGATTCTGATGATTAGTCTCTATTTGAAAACTAATTGGTAATTATTATGTATATGAATCTGTTGTATACATACATAAACAATTAAAACTCTGAATTTGTTCAGCATTAATTATTTATATGAAAAGTAAGAAGGATAAGAGAAAGGAGACAAGTGGAAAAAAGAAACACAAAAAATTATTTGCCTTCTTTTCATAGATTAGTAGTAGAGAAAGATGATAATAAGGGTTGTTATTTTTTTATAAAAGAGTTTATGATTCAATTCATCAATTGCTTATCAAAAGTTGACGGTGTGCGATTGTAACAAAATTTCCATTTAGTACAGTTAATTGCGTCGTTGGAGAAAACACAAAAAACGTGTTGGAATTGTTGGTGACAATTCTATCTAAATGGTTTGTAGTGCGATTCTTAATTTTTGGGAGAGGGTTTAAATGTTCTCTGAACATAAGGGAATGATATAAACTGGGACAAATGAAGGAAAAAGGGAGAAAGATTAGCAAATTGACGTGTCTTCAACAAAATACTTATAGGCTGAACCACATTTCCACACACAAACGCATACACAAAGCAACATAGTTTTCCTGGATCACACTACACAGAACCAAATCCATGACATCTACATCAATAAAAGTTTTAGAAGGATCATGGAGGACGTGAAAACAACGAGAGTAATCGACACAGCTTCAGATCATCACTCAGTGGTGATCAAAGTGAAACTGAAACTCGAGAAGCGCTGGACAACTGGGCGGGACACATCACAAAACTTTCATACGGCCTTTCTTTAGGATACTGGCAAATTAAGTCTCATACCTGTTACACAAGTGCGTGGCTATATGGACTCAGTTAGCTAAGTGCATATCACGAGTACTTACGTACGAAGTTCTGAGTTGTAACTGATTGACTGACTGACTGAAGTGCATATCACGATGGTGTTTGATGAAATGAACGGTTCTTGGTTAAAGTCTGGGACTGTACATCAACTCTGGGATGCAGGTACACGAAATGTGGATCATGGATTCCAATGCTAGCTACATTTCATTTTCCACTTGTTTTACTTCAGAGCTTTAAGTATTGAAGAATATCGGAATCCATGAAGCGACTAGGTAGTCTATACTTAAAGCGTTTAATGTGACAAATGTATCATAGTTAATTAATTATATGTCTAGTTTACGAATACCAAATTACCATAAGTGAGGAAATCGAAATCAAGTACTCAAAGAGATTATTGAAACTTATTGATCAATGAGCTATTTTTTAGAAATCCTTTATAAATTGTCTATCAGTGTTTTACAATAAGTATTGAAATTTATCGTTTTCTTCTGATTGTATTTTTAACTTATTCAACGGATGAAATAGTATACGTTTCAGGCTTTACGATGCAAACTGTATATCAGTTGTAGTCTCACGATCAATCAATAAAATTCTGGATTACAAATATACAATAGCTTACTGATTCAAGTACCTGACATTCCTCTGCAAGATTACAGCTTCGTGTCCTGTATCATCATTGATTAACCGAGTAGTAAGTATTTACTGTCAGCCGTCAAGTATTACCTTTTGTAGAAGTAAAACCAACCACTGCTTGTTGTCTCAACGCTTGATATCTACTGGAATATGTGACTAGGTTAGATAGAAGAAAGTTACAAACGGTCAAACCAAGATGTGGTGTCAGTCCAACTAACTGAGTCCAGTTGAAAGGGGCTGATTACTAACGAGATCACTGTTTAGACACAACATTACATCAATAACAATAGCGTAGATGGGTTTACTTCTTAGTCTTTCTTTTTATTCTTGAGTTGTAACATTATTTTATTCCTTTCATTCCTCAAATTTATTCTTCTTCAATCACATTCTCTATGCTTCATCATTTTTGCAATCATTAATACTACTGGTGCATCGATTTTCTTACTAGAATTCCTCTTAATTTCATCTCATCATCCTGGTGTGATATGATAACTTAAGCTGAATACAGATATATATACACCTACCTGGTTTTGTATAGATTATAAATTATGACTAACCAGATTGTTGTTCAACGTCAAGTATATTAATTTGTACATTAGTACATTTATGTAATATTAGTTTAATGTTTCAAATTACTGACATATGATAGCTGTTACTAAGAAAAAAGGCACTAATTTTACCTAGTTTCGATCTCATGAAACCAGTCAATCCATAAAATAATCATGAATCAAGGTCGTAAACTAATTCGAGACTAACTCTCTCTCTATTTCTTCATACTTAGTGTACAGTCTATAGTTCGTCGGTCGACAATCAGCAACAATCACAACAGGTCATAAATAATATGAATAACAATGATGTCTCAATGAAACTGTCAAAACCAACCTGGATATTCATCTAGATTGATACTATTCCAATCGAAATTTGTTGCTGCTTGTAAAGATTTCTGTAATACATAAGTTAAATTGAATGAATTATTTAACAATTTGTCTGATACTTTCATAGTGTTGTTATTTGCTGACCGGCCAAACTGACAGTGATCATATTCATCATTATTCTGAGAATAAATTGAACGATATGAAGATGAAGGAGGTGATGAATAACACCTAGAAGTAAAGGAAGAAGAAGTCGAAGACGAAGTAGAGGAAGAAGTAGAAGAAGAAGCAGGAACACATGATGATGATGATGCTGCTGCGGAGGACGACGATGATGATGACGACGAAATGCATTGTTGTTTATGATCATCGTGTTTATTCAACAAAACCGAATTACAATAATCAATATTCTCCTTATTTGTCATACCAATCGAATCACTTGTAGTCATTGTTTCTCTTGACGCTGATGTTGTTGGTGTTGGTGTTGTGGTCATGTTTTTCAATGATGCTTCTATCAGTCTATTCGATAAAAATGAATTGGATGATTCAGATGTATTTTGAAGATCCATAGATGAATTTGATGATAATTCTAAAATCAATAAGCATGTTATTATGTAACATGAGTTCAACAAGGAATAAAGTAGAACTTTCATAGACTTCATTTCTAATCAATGTTTGAGTGAGTAATATGCTGTTGTGTAGTGATGGTTTAGTGAGTGAAGTGTTTGACTTTCAGCGATTCTCCATCTCATTCGATTTAGATAACAAGGGTAATCAATCTTATTAGCCCTCATGTTTAGAGTATGGTCTATACCTAAATAATACCCTATGATATTTCAAAATTAGTTTACTCTAACTTAAACATACGCACATTCAATATAAAGTTTCTTTTCAATTAGTTTAAATAAATACCAACAATCATAACAATCATCTAACTTCGGTTGAAATTGAACCCGCTCTCACTTAGATATGTATAGTTAAATAGAGTTCAAGGAAGTGTATCTCTTTAGTGAAACAAGGCTGATAATCATTAAACATGTCTGCTAACAAACACCGATCATTTTAAGCACGTAATCTCAGTCAAATTACAAAACGAATTCAAATAGTCTAAAAATAAATGAAACACTTCTAGTTTGAACATCAATAACTGCATCAATGTTGTTGTCAGTAATAAAGTGAGCCCATCTTTATTTACTCCTTCAGTTGAATCCGAAAAGTTGGACATATTTTCAGAAAAGGAAGGACAGGATAGAAAGGCGAAATTCTCTGATGTAGTAGCTCGAGTATATCACAAAGATGTTGCTGAATAGCCTGTCCAGTTACACATGAAACAAAATATTATCTTTTATGAGAAATAAGGCTGTAACTCAATGATTCACTGAGCAAGTATACTCCATACAAATCGGTTATTGAGAAGTAGGTAATATAATTATATCCCATCTGAAGATTTTCCAAACAGTTTGTTGAAATAAATGTTGTATTGTCATCCATCATTCGAATTCTTCTAGAGATCATCTCTACTTAAATGGTGTGTCTCAACAATGCTCAGTTGGTCGGTTTGTTAACTTGACCACACAGCTTACCAGATACATTTTGGACTATCTTTAAAAACCATCGATCGTTATTTACTAGTTCTTACTATGTCATCAATCACAGACTTATTATTTCACTGCTGATAGATAAGTCTACAACTAGGCAATTGAAATTTTCTACACATTTTGCAAACACTTTGCTAGTTTGCATAAATAAAGTGTAAAATTTAAACTTACCAAAACCATCGAAAAGTGCATGATACAAATGTCGAAATGATGCACTAAGATCTAGTTCACCTGCTGAAAAACTTGATCTTAACGAATGATTTTCACATTGTTCTTCATTCTCATCGCCATCATCATCATCATCATTAACACCTCCTTCTCCTCGTACGACAACTGTTCCTACTTCATATTCATGTTGTAAATTCACTGGATGATCTGAATGAATCATATAATAATCAACCATTGATGAGGATGATGATGTTGAAGAAAGTAATGGTCCCATTGAATTATTATTATTCATATTATTATTATTATCATCATCTTCATTACTAAAAGTTAACATTTCACGAACACAATTCTTCCTTTGCATTTGATTCTTTTGAAGATCATTATCATAATTATACAGAAAGTCATTATTATTTTTACTACTCACTACTGTGTTACAAGTCGTGCTTGTCATCATCTTAACTGATGATGATGATGATGATGTGTCAACTGTTTTCATTGAAAAATCTGGAGAAATTCCTGATATATATTGTCTTGTTTGTGTTTGTTGAGATATTGACGACCTGACAGTATTCTTATCATTGTCGTTATCAGATGCATAGTACGTAGAATTAGTCTGTTGTTGATCAGACTGACTGGATATTTTTTCAGATGTACAATTCAATGCATTTTCAAAATCATTTAGTCGGCGGAAATAATGTCTACCATCTCTGGCAAGATGTTTGTCAATGGTTGAGTCAAAACTGGTAGTATGAGTGGAAGTAGTCACAGTATTCGAAGGAATATTGCATGTGACTGAAATCTCATCATTATCAGTAGTATGATTACGATTCACCATGACGTCATCAGAAGTAGTCAATACAACAGAGGTGCATCGATTTGCAACTAGTGATCCTGTATGAAACAAGTCTGAAGTATTTGAAGCCACTGGAAATCCAGTAAAAGCACGTCGAGTATTACAAGTAATCAGATGATCATCTGATCTGTTTATTGTATTCATTTGATTAGAAAGCGATGTTGCGTTATTATGATGATTGCTACTACTGTTATGAATGTCATGTTTGGTGTGCACATTATCAGAGTTATTACAATGTGCAGGTACACTAGTTGTTATATTCGATAATATATGGTTATTTGCTTCATGAGAAATGGGTTTATTTAAATGATATGAAATATTATCAGTAGTGTTATGATTATCATTGATGAATTGATTTTCTATGGTGTATTCAGTATACACAGAATCTAACAAACGTTTACGATTCGTTCGACGAGTTTTGGAACTAGACAAATTGTTACTATAAGGGTGAATATGATTTATTCGAAATTCAGAATTACAATAATTAGTTGTAAATTGAAGGTTGTCATTGTGATTATCAATGTTTATGTTTTCAGATGTAGGCAAAGATGTATTGTTTTTAGGCAAGATCTTTTGTAGTTGTGACACACATCGTAAACTTTGTTCTGAACATATAGCCTAGAAAGTAGCAAAACGTAGAAAGTATCATTTAAAGCTTTTGTAATGAGCTTTATCATCATTCAAAAATCCCTAGTTTTTGATGGATTTATGTCACTTAAACTGGGTGTTTTGAAAGAGAAAAGACGAAGATTAGTACACGATAATCTAAATCGATTGTATTTCGTTTGATTGTTATCAGCTGCTTACAACCCGTAATATTTTAAAATCAAAAGTATCATAGAAATCGACATGTTAACGAATCCAAAGGAGATTAGGGATGAATATGTGCATCATAATGTAGCGAAGACCCCGACTACTTTAACGAAGTTGAAGTCATTCGAGTTATAACACTGTTAGAGGTAAGATGTCAGAATGCTGTCGAAATTATGTCTACTGTTATATCACAGGGAATCATCGACTTATCAGCAATATTTATGTAGTTCATTCTGCTTGAGTAAAACTATGCATGTATATGTAACCAGTCGCTGACTCACTGGCTCTGACTTATCTGCTACTTGATATTCAACCCAGTGACAGTGTGAATTGACTACTAACAGAATAGGTCTAAGCGAAACATCTTGTCTACACATTTTCGGTTAATTATATAGATGGGGCGAACGAAACCTAGAAGATCTTGGGTTGTTTTCGGTTCAACCACCGATCGTTGTCTTCTTCAGAAGATTCATGGATGCACTAATGATATTTTTCCCTTCTGAGTCGGTTAAGTCCATAGCACATTTGTCCGCCTTAATTGTCATGTGGTCGTTTGAAATGAACTTCATCCTATCAGAATCTTATTCACATTATCATACACATGTTCATCTCTAATTATCTTCGTATTTACACTAGTATGTCGATGTCTGTAACAATTCTGATCTTTAAATATTATAGGTTGTAAACAGCTAATGAGACCCTAGCGCGATAAAGTGAATTCATACTATTCTGCGCCAATCTTCATTTTTTCTTCCTTCTGATGGTATTTCTAGAGATCAAGAACACAAACTTTGGCCCAAATAATAAAATCTTACCGAAGATGTCTCACTGAGGTACAAATCTTCCCCAGTATCTCAGAAATTTGTAGATTAGTCTGCTTGCCTTCCAGTCAATTTAATCATAATCCTGCTATAACTGTTTACTAACAGTGCATACATTCAAAATATTTTGTTAATCGGTGACATTCACATACTTTAAAAACTAGTGATAAATCTTCCAGACCAGTTGGCACTTGACATGCAGTAAGCACAATAATTAAACACCTAGTCCATGCTGGACATCCGACAATGACAAACCTACCAGTCAGTATCAGTCATTCAAAGGTTCCACACCCTTAGTTCCTTTCTCGTCTTTCCAGGTTGACGATTTCACACATATACGAAACGAGTTGGTATAATTAGACCTCATACAAATAATACTAGACAACAAATATACAAATGGTAGCAGACAAAGGCGAGGATAAGAGGGATGAAAAAGCCATGTCAGAGATCATTCATTACATTGATAAACAGTATTTCAAATTATCATCTGATCACCAACTTTCTAAAGGATGAATTACAGCTCATAAAAGTAGTTTCAAGGCGTGAATCATCTAGTGAAAATAAGAATATGAACAGTACAATGCTTTCAAAATTTGACTACCAACATATCAGATGAGGACAAAGAACAAAGAATTATAATGTTATTCAGGAGACTTACTCCACTATTTCGCAAGCAACCTATAAACATTGAATGAAATTCTTTTCTGCTAAGAAAGACAAATAATGTTGTCATTGAATAACAAATATCAGTAGATACTATGCAAAGATTTAATCCCAGACTGGAAAATAAACTTTGACTAACAGAATCAGCTCAAAGTTGAATAACTAAGTGAAGGGATAACTTCCAAATGCATGAGATAACATTCAGGAACAAAATGTGTAAATGGAATAAAAACAGGGTTTGAAGACGTTGAGTGTTGTAAAGTGAACGGATCACTCATTGTGCTCTGATCCTAACCACCGTTTGATCTAAAGAGGTCATATAACATGGACACACACAAGGTGTGAAGTGTATGGATGATAAAAACTACCACATTCATAGACTATAATGCCTATGTATATTACAGAAATTCATGGCTACAACACTAGATAAAGAATTTTACATACGACACAAAATGAATCCAGGGATAGTGGATTCCTTTACATACTTGTCTTTTTGGTGCTGAAGGCATGCATTCCTGGTCTTCACAGTGATTAGACAGACACCAATATGAACCTTTGCCTGGTTCATCTCGAGAACGTGGAATTTTTGTAAAAGACTTATTCAGTGATAAGTTATGACGAATGGAGTTCTAATAGATATTAGTTTGGAAAAGAATTAATACCTTCCAGCCACTCCCAGCTTCACAGTAGTAAGGAAAGTTATCACAGATCCATTGGTAAATTTCACTCAGCGTCATTTTCTTTTCCGCTGTGCTTTGAATAGCACAAGTTATTAAGCTGGCATAGCTGTAGGGTGGTTTACTATCAGGTTGGTAGGGCGTGGACCCACAGTCAGATTCCGTTTTATTATCATCTACACTCACGGAATCCCAACTGTCCATTTCAAAATAAAAGTCACTTTCAATAGAAGCTGTCAGCATACTTATGCTGAGATTGGGAAGCCAATCTATGGCAGTCAGACTATTATCTGGGTCCGTCATAATCACCAGGTTCAACCCATTTCAAATGAGTAAGTTTATATCACCAACGTTCTAAACAAGGCATTGGATACCAAAGCATAGTTTCAATATATGCTTCTTTCACTACTAGGCATAAGTAACTACGTTTGTCATTGCTCAATGGAATCCTATTTCTAAAGAAATTAAGCTTAATGTAAGCAGCTGAACAGTCAGAGATTTTCCCAACTTCGAACTTTTCTTGGTAGAATTAACGTTCTTTTCGTTTCTTTAAAGCTGCATATTGGGGTTAGAAGAGAGTTCTTGATAATAAGAAGATTTAGTTTTTGTTATTTTGCTTCTAGAACAAGAGGACTAAATAAATCACTTAATAATCATGAAAGGGATCATGAAGTGACAGAATGGTCACCTTCGGTACCTATGTAGGGAAATTAAATGTTCAGTGTTCTCTTGAGACTTCACTAGTAAATATAGGGGGTTAACCGAACTGCATTAATTCATTGAATTTTTGTTCATACAAAGACCCAATATTGCTTTGAATGTATTGACAGGTGTTGATATTACGTGTTCTGGAAGAGATTTCTACTACTTCACTACATGATGCGAAAACCAGAACTTCAGACATAAAAAGATTTGACCTCGGATCTTAGAATTTCTTGTAGTATCCTCTGGAGTGATGAGTACTTGACAGAAATAAGAGGTAAGATATTGTCGCCAAAATCATCGTTTAGTATTCGTTAAGCCAGTACTAAGTCACCTCTTTACTTGATGAAAGATATTAGGTGTCTCAGTCCTCTCCATAAGACTGATCAGTAAGTCCGTAGAACAATTTGGTTTCTTTTGTTTTGTAGTTGCATCAGTCGTCACATTTATTGGCACGCACATCTTAACTCTTGCTTGGACTTACTTCCAGTGAATTGTGGTACATCCATTCAACTAGTGAATTTAGGTCTTCCTGTAATGTCATCCTGTCCTAAATATATTTACTGGGTCTGCAAATCTTCATGCCGCCTGCCAAGAATATAATGGATGGGTTTGTTAAATCCGGTAAACCGTTGATATAAAGCAGAAACAGAAGACAGCCAAAGTTTTAACAATGAGGATCTACACTTTTCAAAGATTCCCGTGTTGATAGGACCAACTTCAGCCTTGTCTGTTGTCTTCTGTCACTGAAAAAGTCGCTTGTTGGGTTTCTGATAGCACATCTGATTCAAAAACTTTTCACATTCAGTCGATGCCTAGGTGAGAAGCCTTTTTTATAGGGTTTTATTCAGTTCCATGATAGTTACATCCAATGAAGTATTACTCTCTTTCGTTTCAATTGAATCTTTCCTCACAACTAAGAGATGTGTCTAGCAAGAAAGGTGTCTCTCAAAACTATGTCGTCCTTCCTTCCGCAATACATAAAATACTCGTCCAAATAATCTCAATTAGCTTGACAAATATACTGATTAAACTGGGAAGTCGATAGTTATCACGCAGGCCTCTATTTCCTGATCTATACACTGAACTGATAACTACATTTTTTCAGTTTATTGGTGGCTTCAATTACCTCGAGACATAACAGACATTAGTGTCGGAGGTTTAACAAACGTATCTTTCACAGTTTTCCTGATCCTCTAATGAATATCGTCCGAATAACACTATTATCTTGTTTGAGATGCTGAAGTAACTGAAAGACAACTCCCCAATAATCAGATGATCTATCGACAAGTCGCCGCTGTGCAGGTAACCACAGGTTGTCTCTGTCGTCCGCAAAAATACTTTTCCAAACTGTTCGACTGGAGCTTATGCTCTTTCAACATCATTTGTTTCCACTATCGATGGATACTTCTGTATCAAATTTGGTGGAATTCATCCCTCTATACACGAGGTCAACCAAATTCGACTTTTTCCACAATCCACACTAACTGTTTCTAATAAGAAAATCTAACTTCACTTATCAGCTAGCCGCTTTAAAAATTGTCCTCAGGTATTTGAATTGATTTGTGTTGTGGGTTTTGTTAGAGTCACAATGAACATACAAAACATAAAAATATATGAATAAAGACTCAGTGTACATATTTCAGAAGCGAACTGTGCATTCGCTATAAATCTTTCCATCTGGACTTGTCTTCCCACAGTAGATCTGATAACTGTAGTGATAATAATATATTTATTCTCAAACAGCAGCTTGTTAGAAGAGGCATGCCATATTACAGGCTAGAACAAATTTATGCAAATGTTACCACAATTATTGTAAAAGTTTGCGCAGTTAGATTAGAAATCTGTTTCTGATAGCACATTTACAGCATGTTACTAACAGGAACGATTTGATACAGCCACATTTTCAGTAAGTGAGTACAACTAGGAAAGGTACACAGTAGAGTTCTTGGGTGGCTTGCATAATCAAGCAGTGACATCGCTGGAAAAAGTCGATCGGAAGGCGCTTGATACAAGCTATTACCCAGACGTGAGCGTACGAAAGGTGGATTTTGCGTAGAAGCACCATGGTTGTTCAAGTGTGGATAGGGATGTGGGAAAGTAGTAGTAATAGTGCCAGTTATAGTAGATCACATTATGTGAATAGAAAAACATAAGAATTCACCGTAAAGAAGGCATTTTTAGATGTTAAAATAAATTCTACATGACCTTGACTGATTTTAGTGGGATATGTGGATCATACAGGTAACCAAGTGTGTGATAGTATAGGCGATCAGTCAATTATGTTGATGGAAGATATCATTAGGATTTATCACGTTACCAAACCAAAGCAGCAGGTCGACTTGACAGTTAACTTCGAAGTTTAGAAACCCAAGGAATAATTCTAGTTCAAAGCAGGCAGTATAAATTACATCCGACTTAAAAGCAGTATAATATATATCATATGCAAAGCCTATACAAATAAGGTTACGCTATTTGTGATGCATAGATAATCAATTTACTGTAATGTGTTTGTAGTCTTACAATAAGTTAATCAACAATGTTCGATTCCTTTAGAGACAAACTATTCAAATGCTGTTTCCTGCGTCTTAGAAGTTTCTAAACATCTTCATTTATCCGCCGTGGGCAGTTACTTGCCTTACGTGGTACGTTACACGGTACAAATACTACTAATGATTTATTTTCAAATAGCAGTATGTCACGAGGCATGCAATTTTACGGGAAGAATCAGTTTTTTACAAACGCCAAAACTTTTCTTTAGAAGGTAAGCTGACGGTTACCATAGAGGAATGGGGACGTAATTGAGCTAAGCGTAGCTTTAGATGTGGACCATATTCCTTGAATGGAGTGACTTAGAATTCAACAGTATACAAGGGACAACTCTAATTCGAAGCTCCAAATATGAATTTTTATTGTATAATTACATCCGTTTTACATCCTATGCAGAATGCTCGGCCATACATTTTCCAATTGAGGAAAGGGATCTGAAAAAGCCTCACATTTTTAAAACCGTGAAAGTTTTGTCAGTGCATCCTCGTCTCATTGCCCTCATCCACGATAATGTGGGCAAGGGTAAGAATGTGCCTGGAATAAAATTGAAGAGCAGAAACCCATTATCTGAGTGCTTATATATTCGTATATAATAATAGTGCTCGGAATAAGCAACCGTTAGGCCCACTCTGGAAAATACTTTAAACCTCTTCAGTTTCTCCAGTGGTACAACTCTGCTGCAACAAACAAGCATTTAATGTCAAACAGTAGTCACCACGAATTTTAACCGTTTCTATATGTGCCTTTGTTGCAGCCGCAATCAGTCTAACCGCACTGGACAGCTGAAACAGGATTATCATTCCTTTCCCGAACAGTTCATCAAACTCATTCTGTAAAGACTCTACGAAACCATCGGAAACCAGTCAATGCTTTAATAATATAGGTTTTCTTTCTACTTTCAGGTATACTGGCCGCAATTTCATAAATCCAAATATCTCCGAGCACAGTAAGACCATCTCCTTGATTGAGACAATAAAATAAATATTGGTACATCAAGAAATGCTAACGTCAAGTAGTCGAATGTCTTTAAACCAAAACAAAGGTAGAACAAACTCACTGGATAGTAAAGAAGTATTGGAATAACCATTCTCTTCTTTCTTCAGTGGAATGTAAACCGTGCCAATATGGGTAATTAGTGCCCAGTGATGCCAATGATTACACAACTTGTAGGACTGAATGGAAATTATACGAAGAAACAGCTAGGTTCTCTTGGAAGTGATTGAATTTATGCATTGACAAATCGGCCTGGAGCCCTCTAAGGCTACTACCGGTTCCAAGGTTTCGGCGTGTGGTTGGCGACCACATCCGACAAAAATCTAACTTGCCAAAAAACGATAACGAGAAAACAGATTTCAAACAATTTTAACTCTGCTCTGACAGTTGAGAGGTCTTCTTTCAGAATAATTATGACGTATCATGATGAAAGATGAGTTCCCTCGGAAGTCACAGGGCTGATGCCTCTTCTGACAACCAGAGCAACCATTCATTTAGGTACATGGAACGTTCGTACATTGTGGGAGACTGGAAGACTATTTCAAGTTGCGGCAGAAATGAAAAGATACAACCTCAAGGTGCTCGTCACCAGTGAAACGCATTGAAGACAGGCAGGACAACTGAGACTAGCTTCAGGGGAACTACTGTTATACTCTGGTCATGAAGAGGAAAATGCTTCACATACACAAGGAGTTGCACTGATGCTGTCCAAACGTGCACATAAGGCACTGATAGGGTGGAAATCTCACGGACCCAGGATCATTAAAGCATCCTTCAAAACAAAGAAAGAGGACATTACAATGAACGTCATCCAATGTTATGCACCTACCAACGACTACAATGACGACGTTAAAGATCAATTCTACGAAAGGCTGCAGTCAATCGTCGATAAATGTTCACCAAACGGTTTGACGATTCTTATGGGAGACCTGAATGCCAAGGTTGGAATGGACAACACTGGATATGAAGACATCATAGGACGACATGGACTGGGAGAAAGGAAAGAAAACGGTGAGAGATTTGCAAACCTATGTGCTTTCAACAAACTGGTCATCGGTGGCACAATATTCCCGCACAAACGCATACACAAAGGAGATCAGTATGGCCATCAGACAAATCAAGAGCGGCAAAGCAGCAGGACCAGACAACATTCCAGCAGAGGCAATGAAAGCAGATGTAGAAGCAACTGCGAAAATATTTTACATCCTCTTCAAGAAGATATGGGATGAGGAACAAGTACCATCAGATTGGAAAGAAGGATACCTGATCAAAATACCAAAGAAAGGCGACCTGAGCAAGTGTGAGAACTACACAGGCATCACTCTTCTTTCAATACCAGGCAAAGTCTTCAAAAGAGTATTGTTGAACAGAATGAAGGACTTCGTAGATGCCCAACTTCGAGATCAACAGGCCGGATTTCGTAAGGATCGATCGTGTACTGACCAAATTGCTACATTACGGATCATTGTGGAACAATCAATTGAATGGAACTCACCACTCTACATCAACTTCATCGACTACGAGAAAGCATTTGATAGCGTGGATAGGAAAACACTATGGAGGCTTCTTCGACACTACGGTGTGCCTGAGAAAATAGTCAACATCATACGGAATTCTTATGATGGATTCAACTGCAAAATCGTGCACGGAGGTCAGCTGACAGACTCTTTTGAGGTGAAGACCGGTGTCAAGCAAGGTTGCTTACTCTCACCCTTTCTCTTTCTCCTGGTCATCGACTGGATTATGAAGACGACGACGTCTGTAGGGAAGCACGGTATCAACTGGACAGTTAGGACGCAGCTGGACGATCTGGACTTCGCAGATGACTTGGCTCTTCTATCGCACACTCAACAACAAATGCAAGAGAAGACGACCAGTGTAGCACCAGCCTCTACAGCAGTAGGTCTCAACATACATAAAGGAAAAAGCGAAATTCTCCGATGCAACACAACATACACCAACCAAATCACGCTTGATCGAGATGCTTTCGAGGACGTTAACAACTTTACATATCTTGGCAGCATCATCGACGAGAAAGGTGGATCGGACGCAGATGTGAGGGCGCGGATTGGCAAAGCGAGAGCTGCATTTCTACAGTTGAAAAATATCTGCAACTCCAAACAACTTTCAATCAAAACCAAAATCAGGATTTTCAATACAAATGTGAAGACAGTTCTACTATATGCAGCGGAAACATGGAGAACTACCAAAGCCATCATTCAGAAGATACAAGTGTTTATTAACAGCTGTCTACGCAAAATACATCGTATTCGTTGGCCAGACACCATCAGCAACAACGAACTGTGGGAGAGAACAAGTCAGATTCCAGTGGAGGAGGAAATCAGGAAGAAGCGGTGGAAGTGGATAGGACACACACAACGAAAAGCACCTAACTGCGTCACGAGACAAGCCCTCACATGGAACCCTCAAGGCAAAAGGAAAAGAGGAAGGCCAAGGAACACACTACGCCGAGAAATAGAGAAAGATATGAGAGAAATGAACAAACATTGGACAGAACTGGAGAGGGAAGCCCAGGACAGAGTTGGTTGGAGAAAACTGGTGGGCGGCCTATGCTCCATTGGGGGTAACAGGCGTAAGTAAGTAAGTAAGTAAGTACCAATGACAACAATGACGACGTTAAAGATCAATTCTACGAAAGGCTGCAGTCAATCGTCGATAAATGTTCACCAAACGGTTTGACGATTCTTATGGGAGACCTGAATGCCAAGGTTGGAATGGACAACACTGGATATGAAGACATCATAGGACGACATGGACTGGGAGAAAGGAAAGAAAACGGTGAGAGATTTGCAAACCTATGTGCTTTCAACAAACTGGTCATCGGTGGCACAATATTCCCGCACAAACGCATACACAAAGCTACATGGATTTCACCGGATCACACTACTCAAAACCAGATTGATCATATCTGTATCAACAAAAAGTTCAGAAGGACCATGGAGGATGTGAGAACCAAGAGAGGAGCTGATATAGCTTCAAATCACCACTTGCTGATCGCCAAAATGAAACTGAAGCTAAAGAAGCACTGGACAGTGGGGCAGACAACATCACAGAAATTTAATACGGCCTTTCTTCGGGATACTGTATAACTCAACGACTTCAAGATAGCCCTCTCCAATAGGTTCCAGGCATTTCAGGATCTACTCAATGGAGAGGGTGCAACATTGGAGCACAATTGGAAAGGGATTAAGGAGGCAATCACTTCAACTTATCACGAGGTTCTGGGAGAAATGAAGTACGATCAAAAGAAGTGAATCACTGTTGTTACACCGGATAATATTGGAAGGTAGAGGAACAAGAAGGCAGCAATCAACATCAGCCGAAATAAAACCGAAAAATTTAAGTCACAATTTGAATACACAGAAGCAAACTAGAAAGAGAAGAGAAGATTATATGAGGGACGTAGGGAATTCTGAAAGAGAAGAAAATTCGAACAGTTAAATTATACAATGAAGAAGCTTGCCAGAAAGTATGGAAGACCAGAACAAGCAGTCACCACAATGAAGGCAATGCAATCAACGACATTAAGGAACAGGGAAACAGGTGGGTAGAGCACTTTGAAGAACTCTCAAATAGAGCATGGCTATCGGAAAAATCCACAGTGGCCAAGAAGCAAGACCAGAAAACATCCCAGCTGAGGCACTGAGAGCAGATAAAGCACTTACTACAAACATGTTTCACGCTCTGGTCAGCTAAATTTGGGAGGAAGTGCAAGTAACAACGGACTGGTAGAAAGACGGACAGTTCTTCAAGGTTCGAAAGAAAGGAGATCTCAGTAACAGAAAACATCTCCAATAGAGTGTTGTTGAACAGGATGAGGGACTCCGAACATGCCTAAATTCGAGATCAACTGGCTGCATTCCATAAGGGAAAATCCTCTGTATCGACGAAACTGAAACACCACAGATAATTGTGGAACAATCAATAAGATGAAATTAATCGCTAAACAGATGCAGAAGACGAAGTCCAGCGTAGATGTAGTATGCCTCAACATGCACAAAGGAAAAAGCGAACACCCTTTCGCCTCATTAACAAACGGGAAACCTTTAAATGAAACACCCGTGAAGTCAGTCTACTCTTCAATGTACGGAATACTCCTAAGACAATTAGCGAGACTAAAAACTCTTGCACAAAAGATTCAGATGGTATACTAGCATTCACACTACAAAGCGGAAGTGATGATTTGTGTGTTTCATTAAAACTATTTACCATACCACTCTCCACAGCGAGTTATCCTAATACTTGGAAGACTACACATACCACCTATCCAATAAATCAGGACCCATAGTGAGTACTTAAAGATATGTACATAAGAGAAATATACATGTGGAACTATATGATTTGGAAGACCATACTTATAGGCGAATGATCTCAAATTAGTTCATAGATTTAGGCCTGAAGATCTGAATGAAAATATTGCACGGGTTCAAAGTGAGTCTGGATACTTATTTATCTGGAGTGAAATATGTTAGTTACTATCCAACCACGAGATATACGTGATCATCCATTTTGGTAAAAATCATCATGAAATACTGATTTATCTGCAAAAATATAGGATCTAAAAATATCGGGTCTATCTTGAACCACATATATGAAAAGGTGGCATCGGCCTTTTTGGGAGAAGCTATTGCAGGAAATCTGGATCTCTAGGGGAAATCCGGGTGCAGGATTTAACGAAGTTCTCTCAACCTCCAGTCATTATCATGGAAAGCTAACTATGACCAGACAAATGCCTTTAAAGAACGGAATAGTGAGACTGTGTAATTTTTTTATGAATTTGATTTTCTTACGCATATATGAGCAAACATCAGTCTCAGTGAATTCAAACATTAACAAACACCTTGAACCGTGCCGAACTAAGAAGAATTGAGAGCAAAGAAATCAAGTGGTGTATACTAGCTCTTGAAAAAAATATTGAATATCTGAACCACACAGGAAATTGCTCATAACCATTAAAGCGCGCAATATCCATCTTAGTAACTTGATTTCGCTCATGAAGCGTTGCGAAAGCTCAAAACTCGAGCTCTGCTACTCGGGAAGAAAGAAACTGAAAATCTTACCTCCATATCCACCCGGCTCTCACATATGCCTTTCTGGGTTTTCACTTTTACCATTTGACTTGAAATTTCAGATACTATCGCTAGTTGAAGGTATTTCTCTATGACGTTCTGTATATATATTATTAGTTAGTGACCTAGTAAATCTTTGGAAAGTTTGCAAAGACTTCCAGCTGATGATTGAAAAATACTGCGCCAGTAGTTCGTGTCCACAGTTATCACAGTTCTACTATCCACACAAACATGAATTACAATCACCCTTCAGTACTAGATTGTCTGTTTCGTTGTACAAACAGACTGGTGAGTTCGGAGCAATTTGTGACAACATTAGGAAATTTGTTTCGTAGGATCTATCACCACCGACCATTTTGTAGTAAACTTCAATTTCTGGAGCTTGGTTTACGCAGAGTAAGTTACCTTTTCAACCGGACATTTTTAATTTTGGCGTTTTATACTTGCTCAACAATAGAAAATTTCTTTTCAAATGTATGTATCATTACTGCACCTGAGTTTAAGTTCCATTTTAGGGAATATATATCATGTACTGTTTCATTTGACTCAGTAAGCATAAGAATACTTGAAGTTTCATCAAGCTTTTTGATGTTTTAGTACCATATTTTATCTTTTTATGAACGCATTTCTATGAATGACAACTTATAAGGTTCCTATGAGCTCTCATCTAATGTAGTAACTTTCATCCTGTTTCCTGCTTTTTGTGTTCATATAATTAACTGATAAAAAATTAGTAGAAACTTCGTAACATTAGGCAGGTACTTTTCTCCTTTTTGAGAATAAGCGACCAGTTGGATCCTCAAATTATGAGAGGCAAACCACAGTATTTGTTCATGTTTTCACTCAGTTAAAGCAATTAGTTTAATAAGGTCTGTTTGTAGTTTGTTCGAATCGAAAGGTTACTTGGCAGTCAAAGTTTTAGCTCTAATTAGGTAAGACAACCACACGTTGAGCTGTTATTTTTTTAACAACTGAATATATTAGTCAATATATGGGCTAAAGTTGACATTCATATGTGTAATTTAGTAATTTTGTGCTTTTGTACCCCCTAATTTATACTATTCGACTCTGTTTTCTGGGCTGTCTCATCTCTCTTGAGCATTATTTTTTCATTAAAAAAGGGTCTGACTTTGGTAATCTCCCTTAGATCTCCACGTCGGCAAGCGCTCGTGGCGGTTTTTAGAGCCCTGGGCACAAGTGTGTTGTATTTATCAGCTGTTATGAACCTCTGATTATCATCAGCATTTATATCTTAGCTGTCGATTGGTTGTTAATGTCAAATTCATTTGTCCTTGTTATTTTTATTCTTGTTCTAGCACATGCCACATCGAGAAGATTCTTTAAGCACCGTTCGAAATATACGGGAACTAGACTACTGTCCAAGCTTTTGCTGTATAGGTCTTTCAAAATGCTTAGCTTTATTTATGTATGGTGTTTTTTTGAAGGAATTCATTTTTGGGTGGCCGGAGCAAAATATTCAGCGACTTTTTCACACACTTGTGCACATATGCTTTAATGGAAACTTCTGGTTTCGCCTGTCAAATTTGATATGTCAGAGACCAGGTAGTTGTCGGATTTTTTTATCCATTGTCCATTGTTTTTTCGCCCGATATGCATAAAACGATTATGATGAGCATTAATTTTCATAAAAAGATAAACTGAAGGATACTATTATAAGTTACTTATGATATAAGGAGGCCGCTTTCCTATCAGAACTTCAAACCAGTATATCAGTTTTATGTCTTAGTGTTAATTTTCGGCATGGTATTTCTACCAGCTGATAATAACTAACTGATTGGTGCGCAAACATAATTTCTATACTATCCTTTACAAATAATCTGGAAATCGTACATGTGTATGATTAAGTTCGTAAATGTATGCACATAAGATGGAAATCAATATAATGACATTTGATTCAACTAATTTTTAGTCAGGAAAGTAAACAAGGACAATTAAAAGAGCCTAATTATTCTAGATTAGTAATCTTTCTATTGGGTTTGCATTTTCTTGAAATAAGAGTTTAGAAATAAAAATGAAAAAATCAATTACACCAACTCATTGAAAATAGTGTTTAAAAGTCTGTTCGTAGTGACATTATCTTTTACAACCATCCTTACATTGTCATCTCTTTTAAAAAGAAGATTTTCCATATACTGTTACCACTATGTATCTTTGTGTTTAACTTTCACTATGAGTTTAATCACAAACTGTACATATTGAGCACCTATTCTTTGATGCTTGTGAAGTAGTAACGTCCAAAACTAAGAGCTACCATAAACTATATTTATCTGAAGCTCATACATAATGATTATTCGCTAGAAAAATTTTTCTGTGTTTGTTCTAATTCACAATACACTTTATAATCTAAAAAAAAATGCTGTAACCATATGTTTCAAAAAACGATGAAAGCCGTAAAATACAAATAATGAACTGATAACATGACACTAGATAGTCAACTAATATGTATGAATTATTTCCTACTGACAATTCGCGTTTTTTTTTACTCAGAATGAGTGATATGATATAGTAGATGATTATACGTTTTATGAATTTACCACTGAAGTTTTTTTTATTTACATAATGAAGTATTACAAATTCATGTCACTTTTTGATGCGCTAAACCATCGGAAATTCCAATTATCCGTTTATTTTTATAGCAATTTAGTTTAAATAGAGAATTCTGATTTATTTTCCAAGTGATGTGTATCACTTTCATGAAATTAAAATGTCGGTTGATCTGGGGAAATGTTCAAACAAATATTGAACATTAAATACAGAACAGTATTTTACCAATTGAATTCCAGTTACTGTTACTTAGTTACTTCCTTGCTTATGTCTTTTACCGCCAGTGGAGCATAGGCCGCCAACCAGCATTCTACAACCTACTCTAACTGTTAATTTGATTACTTCGTGGCCGTTATGGTTTTATAATGTCAAATATTCATAATTGTAATGCTGAAATGTTTCAGTTACATTCTGGATTTAAGTATGATTTTTTTGAAAAAACATTAAAAGATTGTAAAACCATGCTACTTTGATAGAGTTTACTGGTTTTTCTTTTCAATAATTTACCGAGAGTACGTTTACCCTCCATAAATTAGATTATAAACATCGTTTTCTGCATTCGTATATTTTTTTATTGACAATATAAGAAACATTTGTCACTGCGCTCCTTATTGTTTCAGGCGTAGATCCTCAGTCTGAATTAACGCTTCGCCTTTTCCTGAGAAAGATATTTTTAGACCCTATTGCCTTACCACAGATATACGACGAGATCAATACATTATCGTCGTCCATTCCCAATACGAATCACTTTTCAGCATTTGATAACAGCTCTGTAGCTATTCACCACAACGAACTTCGGAATCAGCAACCAGCTGAATCCCAGTCGAAAACTTCTTTGGCCCTCGAAACAACCAGTAACTATCGTTCATCCGTATATCCCTCTGATATTGGTCTACTGACTCCAGTTTCCTCATCTAGCAATTATTGTGCTAGTAAAGTTTCATCGGATGATTTATCAATGGTCACACAATTACCACGGTTAGTATGCTTATGCTAAAACATAGTTTATTCATTTGTTACTACTGCGAGTTTTGGTTTTTAGAACTTTATATCTAGATGTATTTACAAGTAAGGATATGAAATAATTTATCATATATATCACAGAGTTTTAAATGAAAAATTTCACTTTTTTGTGGAAATATTCTTTATTCAGTGATCAGCCTCTTTCTGTTTAGTTTATTCACTAAAACTCCGAGCAAAAATTTTTTACATCTTCATGCAAGATAGAATTGGTCATGCGTTGTTGAAACAAGGAGATTCCTATTAATACGCCTCAATCTAGTCTGCATTTGCAACTGTTTACGATTATGTTTTGAATAGTGTTTCGTCCTATATCAGTTTATTGTGTCTTCATCCTAGTATTGATGTTCTCAATTAATTACTCATAAAGCTGATAAGTTATGATTACACGTATTCAAATTGTGATAGATATTACGGTAACTTATTTTCAACCCTGATTTACATGATAAATTTTGTCCTATTCCTTCACTATAGTATGTTAATGTTCATTTGTAGGAGAAAACAGGCTTATTTACTTTACGGTATAATAGAATATATCTGAATTTTACTGTTTGATACTACTACAGATCGTTATTCTAAAATATAGCGCGAATTTTGAGCGATAATACCAATAACTTTAACATACAATGACCGATCTGCTCCTATGAAATTCGATAAGCTGAAATAGAAAATTTCAAAAACCCCATATACCATTTCCTTCCATCCATTTACAAAAATCTAATCAAAGAACATATGAAATAATTCAACTTACTATTGTATTCCTAGACTAAAAATATACTTGGATAAGCAAAGGTTAACCGGAAATACAATAATTAGTTTGATACTGTACAAAAATTTAAGAATATGACTCAAAATTTCTTAGAAATCGATTCTCAACAAACTTTGTTTTCATACTCAGCTGGAGGATCTGTTATCCTGGTCTATAAGCTGAGGTTCAGTAATTTTCCAAAACGAATATATTAAGCACAGATATATAGACAGGAGGCTAAAAAAATCGGTGGAACATTTCGAAGATTAGTTTAACCACATAATGGCTTATTCTTACTAAGCGAAGTGAATAAGATGTCAACTTAAGCTCTCCGACTATGAATGAATTCGAAGAAGCTATAGCTAATTTAAAGCAAGGGATAGCTGCTGATTTAAAATACTCAACCCCTGAGATATTCAAGGATGTGGTTCAGTCTTAGCTGACAAGTTGACTGAGCTGTTAGTTACAGTTCAGAAACTTGATATGATCTAATGTGATTGGTATGAATCAATGGTCGTCACTGCGAATAAGAAGGAAAAAAGATCCCTTTGTGATAACTACAGACGGATAAGTTTGGACACTATAGTGTCTAGAATATTGTACTCAATAATCAACGAATGTTTAGATAGTGTTTTGAAAAATCAGGCTCGTTTCAGACCTCAGTCATGAATATGTAGACAAAACATTCGCCCATAAACAGGTTGTGGAACGCAGACATATCTAATTAATACCAACCTTAACTGCATTTCTCAACCTTAGGGCAAAGTTTGATTCCATAGATCAATAAGTTTTATGACTGTGTATCAGTGAAAGGTGTACCAAAATGTACATTAACCTTTTAGAGGCTCTCTACCTGAACAGCTTGTGGCAAACTGACATCAAAGTCAATTGCTTAAAGTGGAGTTTATCACGGTTATCCGCCTTCTCCATTGGTATTTGACCTTGTCATAGATATGCTTTTAGAATTATTGCTTTCGTTTTCTGACGTATCTCGGGTTGACCTTCTACCAGGAGATTAACTTGTTGACTAAGAGCATGTAGATGACATTGTTATGTTCGGTGAAGACGCTGACAAAATGAAAAGTGTTCTGACTGTATTCAACAACAATGCTAACATGACTGAGATGCGTTTCTCTCCCTTTAAATGCGAATCGTTTCTTCATGACTGGTCCGGGACAACCCCTGTGAACTAGTGATAGGGAAAGAAACAGTTGAGCGTGTCGATAACTTTAACCATGTTAGAGGTCTCATCAGTGTTGGTAGATTGGTGTTTGGTGGAATCTTGGAACAAATTCAGGAAACTCGGTTAGCATGCTTCGTTTTGCGCCACTTGCAACGTAGGTGAGATGTACGTCTTACAACTGAAGGATGGGTTTACTGCACAGAAGTTTTTCCCGTTCGGCTTTACGACTATGAAACTTGGCCATTGAAAACAAAGTTTATCCTTAGTATATTAATGCTTGGTCATAGATGTCTGAGTCATTACTGGTGTATTTTGAAACCACTGGGTAATTGAGTCTGAAGCTAGATCCAGCGTAATATATAAAGTCAGAAAATCGATACATGAGTTAGTGATTTATTGAGTTGATCAGAACACGTATCATGCATAACCATCCATTGACTACCTTTACGGGCGATGATGACTTATATAAGAGCAGGTTTGAACAAAGGTAGGACAAACTAAACCAAGACCTGACGTCGGTCGATAAATTTGTTGTCTGTTGAACTAGACCTCATAGGTTGGTGCAGACTACTTGGTTAGGGTCCTCATGATAACTGTAATTAGTGGCGAGAACCTTTGGTTAATATGTTCTAAAAACATTCTCAATAGCTGAGACGCATTCATTTTATCTCTTCTCCGATTGTAACCTAAATTACTTTATTTTTTGTTAGTGTTCCACTAATCCATATTTTTTCGAATCATATCTTCTATGTCTAATCCTTTCTATCATTACTACTACTACTTTTGCTATAACATTTGTTCTGACATTTTCATTTCCTTGTGCTAATAGGATATGGCAACTCAAACTGCTGCATAGAAGTACTAGGTTCTACTTCGCATATGAGGGACTGACATATGTGATTTCTAAAATAGTTTTTTTTCCTGAAGAATACAATAAAAAATTAACTGTAGAAGATGTGTGAAACGTTTCAGCTCAGCAACAGACGCCAGGTATATTCTAATAGCATTTTAATTCCTACGGTTAATTCTTTAATAATTCTTGTAAAATATATCATTGTCTAGTAGCAAGAACTGCTATCTAGTATTCAAATTTCTTTTTTAATCATTTCACTTTGTGATGATTAAGAATTTTGATCACTGGATATTTTTATAGATTTAAATTCATCTTTTTAAAATAAGGGTGTAGTGAAGGAGGACACAGGTGAGGGCAACCGAATTGTATTTATCGCAAATTACAGAGTTACTCAGTAAAATAGGAAAACCATATCGTAACCATTAATTTGCAAATCTTCAATCCATTGTCTGACATTTCACTATTCATGCGTTTCATACAAATTCCATTGTGTTCCCACTCTTCTTCCTTTCTTGAACTTCCCCCATCTTCTGCTGCCAGACATTACGTTTACACTCGCGTCATATATTACTTATAAGTAGCGCACACCACAAGGGTATTAGAATCATTTAAATGAATAGTTTATGTTACAATTTTTAACGTCTTATAAATCTATTGTTAATTAATCACAGTGGTGCAGCAAAATCTTCGTTATCACCGGTTTCAACTTTGGTCATGCATAATTCATCAACCTCCTCGAATCAACCGATAAATAACGATTTCTGGCCAGCTTCCAAAATTTTAATGATGATTCTTCAATCATATTCTTATACTCATCAAGCTAGAATTTTATTTATTTTGTATGGACCATTACATAGAGGTAATTCTGAACATATTTTCGATATCAAATACATGATATGTTATTATTAAATTGGGTACAACAAAAACAGTTTCCTCATCACTCATTAAATTCACCAAAAAAGTAATGACATAAAAGATTTGCCCTCCTAAAGTGTATGTATTGGCAATGACGTACGTTTTAAGTTTAGTGATGTTTGATTTTCTCAATACTTTCTCGGTTAATACTTCCAGTTTGTTGATAAAGCAATTAATACTGTATACAAAGTAATTAACTGGTCTACTGTTCACCTAGAAATCACTAATATTTTGACTGTTTGTTCACTATAACCACATCACAACCATAAAATTTGAATCGTGTTGATTGCCTAATAGCACTTCTGTTTAGTAATGCTTACTTTGAATAGGCTAGCTAAAAAAAATATTGGTTTTAGAGGCTGTGATTATGATGTCTATCGTTTTCAAGTTATGAAATTTGTTATATCATCTATCACCTGTGCTTCATAGAAATTATTGTTATCTGAGTACATATGAAAATATCCAGGCGTTGTCGGAGCTGAACTGTAGGTATTGTTTATAATATTCGTTAACAGTTTTATGCATATATGCAGTTGTAAACTGTTAGGGAAGTTCTCATAACTTTCCATTACATTCTGATCATCAGACATTATGTATTCACATACTGGTAATATAATTTGGAATTTAAACATAAAAAGAAGAGTCTATTATCTGTAACTAGATTAACTGTAAAATTTCTCAAACTAGTAAATACTTGTTAACTGAAAATATAAGTAGTATTCAGTAAATATTGTAAGTTGTTAAAAGAGCCTTTTGGTAATAAATAAGTCATTCATTACCATAACTTGTTGAGAACAAAGAAATTGGTAAATTTCATAGAGGTATCTCATGTGTATACATGAGGTGCATTAATCTCACTAAAGAAATATTAGACATATTCAATAACTGTTAGAATACTACTCAACACAAATGAAAACTATGATTATATATATTTCTTTATAAACTTATTTTTATGAGCCATCCGGTCATATTGTAGTGAGGGAGAACACAGGTGAGGGCAACCGAATTGTATTTATCGCAAATTACAGTGTTACTCAGTAAAATCGGAAAACCATATCGTAAATTGTTCATTTGCAAAATATCAGTTCATTATATCTAACTGGACTGTTCCTGTTGCAAAACATCAATCCATTGTCACTATTCATGCGTTTCATACAAATTCCATTGTGTTACCACTCTTCCTTTCTTGATCTTCCCCGATCTTCTGCTGCCAGACATTACGTTTACACTCGCATCATATACTACTTATAAGTAGCTCACACCACAATATCACTAAGAATGTTGAGCTTAAGTCAAACTCAAGTGAAAGCTTAAGGCTAACTATTGTTAAAACAAAATGAAAAAGACTTATGTTACGTGTTAGTCCTGTTTGCTCGTAAGTAATGCGTTCGTCCGTCCGTACCATATAAACTATTCTTGGACAATTTTATATGAACGTAATTAATACAGATATATTAATTAGAGAAAGGTCAGTCTATGCTCCATTGGGGGTAAAAGGCGTAAGTAAGTAAGTAAGTAGAGAAAAACAGTAACCACTTTATGAGAATGATCATATTTAACAATGAAACTCTTTCTCAACACTATCATGAACATTATTGTGGTGTGAGCTACTTGTAAGTAGTATATGACGCGAGTAAAAACGTAATGTCTGATGGCAGCAGAAGATGGGGGAAGATCAAGAAAGGAAGAAGAGTGGGAACACAATGGAATTTGTATGAAACGCATGAACAGTGAAATGTCAGACAATCAATTGATGTTTTGCAAATTAACGATTTACGATATGGTTTTCCTATTTTACTGAGTAACTCTGTAATTTTCGTTAAATACAATTCGGTTGCCCTCACCTTTGTTCTTCTTCACTACATTATGACCATACCTTACACATTTTATGCATAATCACTCAGACTAATTGAGATTTTATCCTTATATGAAATATTAGTCATACCACTGTTTTGCATAATTTATGCCTGGTGATTGAAAAATGCTGTTTTCATCCAACCTAGTGAAAACTTATAAGAAGGGCATCGTTATTCGAAACAGATTTTTTTTACAATTAAAGTGTACATATTTGATGCATATAATTAAACAATTAATAGTTTTTTTTAAAAAACACCAGGAAATCTTATGTGGCGTACAATGTGTGAAAATACAGCTGCTGATTCTCAACAATTATCAGCTTGTTTTGGTGAACTAGGAAATGTACTATCAAATATGTTTCAATCTGGTCTATGGACATCTACGGATATTGTCAATATACTTGATCAAATCACAGTGACACCTGAAGATTGGTTAGCAGAAAATGTTGCATGCTTATTACATACATCAGGTTTGGCTGTTTTTTATTTCTTTGCTTTTTAATAATGAATTTTTTTTTGGTAATTTTGAATCTTCTAAAAAAAAGGTATATTTACTTAAGCTATAATCTTATAAAACAGTAAATAAGTTGTATAAAATTTGCCATATACATTTACACTAAAGTATTTGATGATACTATGATTACAAATTTTAAAGATATATTTTTCAACTTTGTAGTGCCTCCACGCATATTTCAGTTTGCTTACATCTAACTTGGTTAAGCCCTTTCGATTAATTTATTTAACCAAACCATAATTTGTATTGCAACAATTTGTATGTACCATTCGTTCTTAGTATTGCCTGGTTTGTATGAGCTCAGATGACGTGTTCCACTTGTCATTTGACCTTGTCAACCATTCGTCGCTTTTATTCATATGTGTGCATGCCTATTTCGCTTGTCACATGTCTGTCTTATTTTATCTGAGTATATGTTCTTAGTCATGCTCCATTTCTTTGAGTTGGCTCTTAGCCTTCTCCAACGAGCTTCTCCTGTTCGTTCGCTTCCTTCGCTCATTATTTCGCTGCTTCTCCACTTCGCTATGTGATGTGTCCAAAATATAAACGTATTCATACTTCGAATTCGCCTTCTGATCTATAAACCGTCAGACGCTACTTAGTGACGATTGTCTAGACGAGCTAATTACCGAGCTATCCGAACAAGCAGATAAATGGATCCCACAACTTCACAGAAGTTCATCAATAGTAGGTTTAAAGTGCTCCTAATTGTCTCACAGATAATATTGAACAATGTGGTTTAAAATTTTCCCCGATCTGTCATTGTATTAATTATTTGAAGATCCGATACAACAGTTTATTTTCACTTGCATATCACCAGTTTCAGCTTTTTGCAATCTTTCTGTAACTTAAACAAATACACTACTTATAACAATGTAATGTATTCCTCATGGTTATTTACCTTCAATTTATAATGTGTTTATAGTCAGTTTCATTTGATTGGGAATAAGTGTACTATTATCAACATTGTATCTATTTTATTTTTCCGTAGGACCAAAAATAGCACTACTATCTGTGACAAATAAAGCCCGCAATGGAAAAACTGTTGAAGTCGCTGTTACTATTACTTCACTTTGTTTAGTTCAGGTAGATTTGATTTTATCACTTATCATTTGTCAGTAACTAATCCAAAAAATTCAAACCAGCTAAATAATCAAAAAGAATTCAAAATTGTACCGGTGATTATATTAGTGGAATGAAAGTTAGGCGTTTCATTCGAAAGAATAATATCTCAGACATTAAGTACTGTTCTTCCACTCTACCCTGGAAGGGTTATGTCAATAAACAAAAGGTCCCCCTACCTAAAGTTCTTTTTTTCCTGGAAACAATCATATTTGACTATTAACAGTCAAATTTTCTTAATAACTAAGTCCTCGTTTCACAAGCTTCTAGAGTATGATGTCAGGTTTCGCTTCGTCGATAAATAATCCTCCACATTTTCGAAAGTGCTCAAACTTCATTGTACCCTAAAAACTATCACAATGATGTCCAACAATTTCAAATGTTTTACATACGCCATCACCACTAACGTTAAAAATCGGTTCACTTTTCTCTCCTTCATAGTCTGTTTATGTGATCGGTAAATGTAATTGGTCTATACAAATCATCCCTAAGTTAAATGAAAAATCGATTTAAAGTTTGTCTGTGTTAAACCTTAAATTCACAAGGATGTGTTGGTGAAATAGCAAAGTAAGTACGTGTTAACAATGTGACAGGTCTGTATATAAACTTGAGTGTGTTGTCGTCCCGCAGTAAGGTGAACTGGAGCAGTAAGACTCAGTAAATAATGTGAACGCTTGGCTCATATACCTCTGATCATCATCTAAGCAAAACGTTGATACAAAACTCCACTACTAATGGAAAGAACTCCCAGATGAGAAAAAAAAATGTCGGAAGGTTTGTCTGTAGATGCTGTTCCTATAAGGTATCGAATCAAACCTCATGAATAATGATGAACTTCAGATATTTTTGACAATATATTTAGTCATTATAACAAAGTTGAGTCGTTACTTGTTAGTGGGACATAGATGGAATTAAAGCATGACTACGTTGCTACGAGCTGATTGGCTAATTTCCTATCCAATCAGCGCCTGATCGAATCTTGGAGAACAGGGTAGAAAATTCTCGTATTGTTAGCTGCATACTGATTGGCTAAATCTAATCCAGTCGATCACGTGAATTTCCATCCAGAAGCTTCTCATGTAAATGCTATAAATAAACTAACGTTATATCTATTTTCGGCCTTCGCAATCAGCTTGGCTTCTTATTTCCATTTTAACCTTGCTATTTGCAATATAATCTTTTCCCGTTCAACCGAGTTTTCGATTCTTTGAAACTTGTCCAGTGTATTGTGGTCAGAGAATACTACGCAATAGGATTTAGCTGGGAATTATATAAGCGAAGCATTACAATATTACTTTAACGTATGTTGGTTTCCTCACAACCGCAAAAGCATAATAAACTGAGATTGTAGCTTGAAATCTGTTAGACATTTAACTTGACAACGCTATATACAGCTTATTTTCTACCCAAACAATACTTATTTTAATAATTTCTAATATTTAAATCTATATTTAGGTGAAAATTCGTGCAAAATTAACAGAACTTATTAATCTTGTCACTGCTACATTCCAAGCAACAAAAGAAAAAGATAGAACTACATTTTTAGACCAGTTAGCTCGATCTTTTCAAGATGTTATAGTTGACTTGTATGAGACTGATGAATTAGGTAAGTTAATAAAGTTTCTGTTTGTATTTTAGTTTCTGACCAGATATGTATTGGTTTTTACCAACTTTATTTAGTAACACTAAAAGCACACTTCTTGTATCCAGCTTCAATTTATTTCATGTTTAGAAAATTGATGATACCAATCAGTCACCACCAACTCAGTAAATAAGCAAAAACAATTCACATACGGTTTATGAGTTTAATGGTTATAAATAGTTCGGCGGCTTTTTTCTGAGGTTATTTTTACGATGACTTCACACAATTTTGTCTATGAAAGCTAATACAGTCTGAATGTACAGAAACAATCGTGTTATTACACAGTTGTATATACGCAGTCTCCTTACTCGAAATAATTAAATTTTGGCATCTGATATTATTGGACACTTGGGTTTTTTTTGTGTGAGTAACCTAAATTTTTACAAACTAGGAAACTTTAAGCTTATTTAGTCTTCATAGAAGGCTTCACTTAGTATACACAGCCTAATAGTTGCAAACTATTTTACTAACTTTACTGAAGTTTTAGAGTACTCAACATTGCTAGTCGATTTTGATATTCAAAACAATCATGTCACGAAAGGTTTCATAGTGACGGTTTCTTCATTACATAATATTACACTAAAATATTTCTGACAGCGTCGACTTCATGTTGCTTATTCGATTACGTACCTACACATGATATTGACCATTACGAATTAATCGAATACTTATGGATTTCCACAATATTTCCTAAATAATAATTGTTTCATTCTCCTCATTTAATAATTATCTGTTTATTTAAAAGTAATACCAAATTTTACGTAATTACCAATAGAATTCATATGAACAATTATTCGTTGATCAGTCAGTCAGTCAGATGCAACGTAGAACTTCGTACGTAAGTACATCAGTTTATGCTGCCATACCACATCAGCACAGAGATATAATTGTCCATTCAAATACAATAGTGGTAGAGGTAGTAAGGGAATTAGAAGTAATCGGAGAGGTTAGGGTTAGAAGATACTATTCAAGAAGTATGATTCAGTGAGAGAAGTTTAGAAAGTAAAAACTAGAGGGGTTGAAGAATCCAGAAGATTAGGGTTTGAGAGAACACAAAGAATAAATGCATCGGCGCCATTGCGAACGATTTTGAGCCATGTCATTCAAGATCTCTAACCATCGATTATTATCATCTCGCGGACCCCAACCAGGTAGTCGACAATTACCGACATGGCTCAGTGCACTAGTCAATGACTTCATGGATTTATGCCATGTTTTGGTCTGGCCGCCCCTAACTTTTTTCCAACCTACTCCTACACTACAAAACAATGCTCGACGAGGCAGTCGGTGGTTAGGCATACGCAACACATGTCCCAACCACCTCAACTGATGAAGTTTCACCACTTCATCGATTGATCTGCCATTCTTACCTAGTACCCGTTTCCTAATAACAGCGTTGCTCACTCGGGTGTCCCACGATATACGAGCAATGCTTCGAAGACACCTGTGATCGAAAACCAATAACCGACGAGTATATTCTACTCTCATTGGCCATGTTTCACAGCCATAAAGTAAGACGGAGCGAACCACTGCGCAGTACACTTTTGATTAGAGAACGGATATCACGCCTACGCCATAAGTGACGCAAGTTGGCAAAAGCCAATCGGGCCTTCTGTATCCGAGCTGAGATTTCGTCAGTCACCAGGCCATCGGCACTGATGAGACTCCCAAGATAAGATTATTCGTTGATCGATAAACATGTTCGAAAATTCAGCTTGCATTATTGCCATTAAAAACTACATTGTAACATTTGAAAATAAATCCATGTCTTTGTATATTGAAAGATCATATTTATTAAAACTTAAACGCTATATAAACATATATATATTCTCCTCTTGATATATCACTTTTCTCTTGCAGAAGACCGAGTAGAAGACTTCTCGACCATACTGAGAGCACAAGCAGAATTCATGCGTGCACTTATGGCACATATATACGAGGAGTAAAATATGAATATCTGCGTGTCAAATTCGTTTTTTTTTCACTGTGGTGCTTTCATTAGATCTCTTTTTTAGTTTATCTTTGTTTCGATTATATAATGCCGTATAACTCATTTCTGTTATGATTGTTACTTTATACCAAAAAATTGTTATTGTTACCTCCTTTGTATTTGTTTTTTTTGTGCACAGATGTTGACTAAGTATTTTTCTACCTATTTTGTAAACCATTTTCTATCTTTTTTTATACATGTTATGAACTATTTAGTTTTGTATCAATAAACATTTCTAGTTATGGAAAATTCGAATTTAAGTTAATTTATATTTGAATGTTTCAGATATTACCAGCTGCAAACATTAACAATCAGAAGAATTAAATTCAACCTTAATAGAAATCTAGTCATAATAAATACCCGACCGTAGCTGCTACCTCGATGTAACGGTCGGGCTTGCGTATCGTGATGATCCAACCGAACTATATTGGCTGGAACTTAGGTTCCTGAAGGTTCTACCATGCCAGGCAGGTCGATTGGAGAACGATGAGACTAAAAGCAGCTACCCAAGGTCTGAGGGCGAAGTCGTACTGCTCACTGCAGAGGGGTGTGGCAGCAGTAAGGTGTTTCCCTCGGACAACCAGCATCTGCAGCGATGCTGACTTCTCACAAGGAAGGAAGGGTTAGAAAAGGTCGACCCTAAAAATGTCACACCTCACCTTACCTCACGGATTTCCGTCTCCGTCGGTAAGGGTACCCACTAAGGGCCTATAAGAACGGAGCTAATACTCAAAATACATTTCGTAAAAAGGCCGTGCGTGACCGGTCTCAGGCAGTTGTCCCTTGGGCTCCGCGGTCACACTCTCAAGCCGTTAAGACCAACGCCAATCTACCTTCCTTTTCAGGTCCCTCAAGAATCAACCTTCCACGGTGTGGGCGGCCGGGAAGTGATATCCGCCCTCATATTCATAAAAGCACACGAGACCGAATCGGTCACAATTAAATCCTTTCTATACCTCTTAATAACTCTCTTATCTCCTCGACCAACCCTTTTTCGATAGTTTATCACCTCACGCCACTGAAGCGAACGGTATGAGCTCAAACAACATTATTCTTGAAACCCCATTCTACACTACATGTTGGAGTATTAAATGTACGGACATTGTGTCAAATAGGGCAACAGGCTTCCTTAAATAGGACATTAGAATGTCGCTCAATCGATGTATGCCGCGTCTCGTAAAAGCGCATGCAGTATCCTAGTAAAGTCATTAATCTGATTTCACCTTGTCAAAATAAAGAAGCAAGTCGATTTACTCTTCGTGTATCCGGTAGCCCTAATGCTGCTTCCCGGGGTCTGACTGATGTAGGTATAGCATTGAGTCGTAGGGCAGATCTATCTCTCCTAGACCGTATCCCTGTAGATAGTCGCTTGTGCGCTGTCCGACTAAACGGGACAGCAAGGATTCGGAAAGATAGACACTCGCCGTTGCCTCTTCGTCATATCTGCCTACGCACCCATTGACTGCAGTTCAGACGAAGTGAAAGATGAGTTTTATGGAAAGCTTTCGAACCTCCTTCAAAATGTTAGGCGCTCTGATGTAGTATTAATGGCTGGTGACTTCAATGCTCAAGTAGGTAGACTAAGTGAAAATGAAGACACATGGATGGATCTTATGGTATCGCGGCTCAGAGAACAGAAAACGGCGACCGTCTGTCGCAACTATGCTCAGATAATCGCCTATTCCTAGCAAACACTAATTTTAGGCATAAGGAAAAACACCTCTTGACCTAGCGACCCCCAAAGTCGTCTCAACGTTGAACCCAACTATATCACATCGCCATCAGCCACCGATGGAGGGGTTCGATAGAGGACTATCGCTCGTTCTGGGGCATGTTTAGATTCCGATCATGTCCCAGTGCGAGCGCGTATTTTGTGAGGCTTACTGGACGTAGGAAAGACACCGCGAGGAAAACTCTTAGGGTTCTACCTAATAATAGATTGGCGATGTCACTGGAATAATATAAGGCAAATAATGTTGAACATCATCAATCACCAAATAGACAGTATGTAGTAGGTAACAATTTCAAAGTATACAACTAAACTGCTCGATTCGGAAATATGTTCACCTAAAGAACAATTTTCTCCGTGTAGTAAATAGAATCTGCTGTAATGAGTTAATTCACTCATTGACTAACAAAATGTCTTCAGGGCTGTCCACTCTCTCCATTCTCGTTTAACTTTGTCGTAGACATCGTTTTGGAGTTAACATTATCCTACTCAGATTTTTCAGGATTGAACCTGATACCAGGAGACTCGCTGATTGACCTAGAATATGTCGATGGCCTGATCCTATTCGGTGAAGACGCTGACAAAATGCAGTCTTTTGACTACACTAAGCAACAATGCAAGCATGTTCAGGATGCGGTTCTCACCCTCGAAATGCAAAATTTTGCTCCACAATTGGCTTGTATCGGCACCTGGACTCGTAATAGGGAGTGAAGTAGTCGAGCGTGTTGACCACTTAAGCTATCTCGGGAGTCTTATCAGTGCTGATGGCCTGGTGACTGACGAAATCTCAGCACGGATACGGAAGGCTCGATTGGCTTTTGCCAACCTGCGTCACATATGACGCAGGAGATACCCGCTTGTTAACCAAAGGACGAGTGTACAGTGCAGTAGTTCGCTCCGTCCTACTATACGGATGCGAAACATGGCCGTTAAGAGTAGAGGATTTTCGTAGGTTACTAGTCTTCGATCACAGGCGTCTCCGAAGCATTGCTCGTATATCCTGGGACAACCGTATAAGCAATGCTGTCGTTAAGAAGCGAGTTCTAGGTAGGGATGGCAAATCAATAGATGAAGTGGTGAAACTTCATCAGTTTAGGTGGTTGGCACATGTATTACTTATGGCTAACCAACGACTGCCTCGACAAGTCATGTTTTGCAGTGTAGGAGTAGGTGGGAAGAAAGCTAGGGGCGGCCAGACCAAAACATGGCAGAAATGCATGAAGTCACTGACAAGTGGACTGAGTCATGTCGGTAAGTGTCGACTACGTTTTTTGGGGTCCGCGAGATGATAATAATCGATGGTTAGAGACCTTGAACGACGTGGCTCAGAACTGTTTGCAATGGCGCAGGTGCATCCACTCTTTGTGTCCTCTTTAATTCCAACCACTCTGAATTCTTCATAATCTGTCTTTCTCCTCACAAATTAATCTCACTGCATCACACTTTTCGAATCATATCTTCGCTCCCTAATCTTCTCCATTGCTGCTAATACTTCTATTAACGCTATCACTCTTGGATTGAACTGACAGTTGCGCCTCAGTGCTGATGTGGTATGGCAACCTGAACTGATGTACTTATGTACGAAGTTCTGTGTTGTATCGGTCAGTTGGTCTACTACACTCAGATAAGCGCCTATTTCTAGCAAACACTAACTTTGAGCATAAGGAAAAACATTTCTTGTCCTGGTGACCCCCAAAGTCGTCTCGACGTCGGACCCAACCAGACCACTTCACGATCAGCCATCGATGGAGGGGTTCGATAGAGGACTGTCGCTCGTTCAGGGACACATGCCATAGTACAAGCGCGTATTTGTTTGCGATTTAATGGACGTAGGAAAGACACTGCAAGAAAATCCATTGATATCTTAGCTAAGGGTGTATCTCAGGAAAAAAACAGTCTGGAAGTCATGTAGTAAGTTATGCCCATACCGAGACAGCTTGAAATGATATTAAGTAGGCTGTGGAAACAGCCGTGGATCTCAGTAGCATCTACTGAACTAATAAATGCTCGGAAACTCGTCCCGACTGATTCCGAACATAACGAAGAGCGAAGTCAGTTTGAGCGCAGGCTGATAAAAAGCCTTCGCAATAATTGCGGACAGTGGTAGACAGCAAAATCAAAAGAGATGGAAAAGGCAGAGGCGATTGGCAACAGTATGCAACTATTCAGACTCATCAGGGAATCCGGTATAACGAACCCGAATGTGAGACTTTTTCGGAAAAAGATGGTCCTATTATTGATACTCAATCCAGGAGGTTGTATCGACGGGAGGACCACTCTAGGGATCAGTTCAACTGGCCTTCGGCCAACACTTTGGTTACCCACGATCTCCAGTACACCACCGTAATCAATGTTCGGGCAGTGAGCATTCGCAAGAGAAAAGTATTGAGGTTACCCTAAGTGTAGTCACCTAAAATCTTTGAATCTGTTACACATACCTATGCTGGTTGAACAGACAATTAGGACTAGCTGAACCGCAAGTCGGTCATACACAATGTAGGATCCGTTACTTGAGTGCATCGGTTCATGCTATAATAGTACATCAGCACAGAGAGAAGAAATGGTTAAAACAAATCTTGGGGCGGTAAGAGTAACAACAGTGCCAGTGGCGTTTCACATACAGTTTAACAGACCGGATGTAACTGCCACCACAGAAACATGACTGACCCAGCCAGTAGATGAAAATTTACTGTAATAGAAAGTTCACACTAACAAAGGTCTTCATTCGTAAATTCTTAGAGGGGGAGTGCCATAATCTATTGGATTTGTAAAATAGATAATTGCTTGAGATGTTAAGAGGAAAATGTCTCTAACAGAGATGAGATACCATCTCTAAGTAACAGCGTATACGCAGCTTTAGTTTTTATTTTCTATTTGACTTATACAGATCAACATATCGAAAGCGAATAAACACTCAGCCCTAAAAAACACAGGCCGATAGGTCTTTAGGTAGGAATGAAGACGTACATGTCACCGACAATACTACGTAGACTAAAAATAAATTATCATTATCCGTCAAACAAGTTTGTACTGTCCTCCCCAAAAGGAAAATATATGGGAGAATCTCAAACCGCTACTGGATGTGAAGAGACCAAGCTTCAGTATCGGACACCCTGGGACATTTGTACTGTAACTTATGAACGCCGAAGACAGTAATGAGACGGAGCTAAGCAGTGAACTCGTAGTCTTCAATATTTTTATCTTCCTACATAAACTGGAGGAAAATGAGGGCTTAAACTAACCTAGCGTCATATTGAGACGATCACACTGGCTCATTAGTAGATAACTTGGAGATTAAGACATTTAAAAACCTAAACACAGTGCGAACATCATTCTAAGCAGTAACACATTAATCCTACTAACTATAGTGCCCAAATAATCTGATTTCCACCAGGGGATGGAACCACAATATAATTAATGTTAGATGAAAAGTCAAATGAATGTTGACAGTATCCTTCATTCACACAAAAAGTAGAGGCAATTTCTTTTTAGGAACATGTAATTTCCTCCACAAATACTCCAGATATTGTGATCACTAAATTATCCGTTGTCTTTGGTGTGCTAAACAGCCTGATGTGAAGCATACCTGCAGACTGTTTTCCTGTGAATTCGACTAGCATAGTTTTCGAGATTTTAAAACATTATTCGCTATGTAGACGAAAATCTAGTTTTGTGAAAAGCAGTATCGTCGCCTTATTTGAGGCTCGAGAGAGTTAATCCTCAAATGGTCAGGAAATGCTGAAAAATCACGACTTTATCTAATGTTGGTAGTCCCAATTGAGAGACTGCTTTCCAAATCGAGCGACATCGATATAAGTGGCAACATGGATCGATGGACAAATGAATTTTTTAATGGAACGTTAAGAGAATACGGTGGTATCGCTATAAAACTTCTTAGCGGAGTGCATCAGAGCAATCTCGGGACTAGTTTTATTCCTCTGGTATGAGAACCTTAGTGTCACCTATCAATAAAAGACATGTTATATTCTGAACACATCTACGTTCGAAGAACGAGATAAATGATAGTTTAGGACGTCAGATACTAGAATTTGGGAGCTGTCCACAAACGATGGTCCAATTGTAGGAACAAGGTGAGTAATATCTAGCTACCCAATGTCATTGTCGGTCAAGACTTTGTACAATGGCTGTCAAGCTTGAGAACTTTCGAATCAGCACGTAGAGCCCTTACTCACGTAGGTTATAGGAAATTGCCGACTTTGGATGCACTGTCCGTGCGCGATGAAGTTTCGTTCTCTGAGATGGATATTTTGGTTGTGTAGCTCTCATTGTTCTCATGAACAACGTCGTCACCACAAACGTCATCCACGTCATACAACGAAACTACACAACAATCATCCACCTGAGCTACTAATTTTATCCGATCCACAATATCCCTAGTATTGAATACAAGAGGGTATGTATTTTGAGAAAGGACAGTATAATATTCATAAGGATCCAGGCAAGTCGATTCTCGAGTTTTCAAAGCAGCTGTTTGATGACACTGTCTAAACTAAACGGCAGAAAATGCCTTAATCACGAGCTCATAAAAACTTGATGCCAATTATGTGATTAACATGACCTTTTTAAAATCTCAGGAGGAGTAAGCAGTAAGGCGTCAAAAACCTAGAAACTACTACACGTCACCTAACCTTCCAAGCCTAAACACGTAGACGGAATCTCATCCATCGACTGATCAAAAAGTAGAGTTAACTGAATGTCTTGACAAGTATAACAGAACATCCAAACTTTACATTGATCGCACAATGTGTAAAAATGTTCCAGTTTACTTTTAAAGTCCATTAGACATCATACGGAATAAAAGTCATCAAAACAGAAACGATTATCAACCAGCGATATTTACTTCACTACACTCGCGAAGGGTACAACATAACTCGTATACGTTTGCCCATAGCAGATGCCGGTAAATTGTGTTTGAATCGGGCTCGGACAATGCCACTGTTGCCGTGTGGACGCATAATCTTCCCCCAAATAACTCTTATTTTTGTTGGTTTCTGCCTCCTTGGAAAAACCTTCTTTCTGCGGAAACAATAGATAACCTACGCGAATGTGACTTACTTTTGGGCTCGATAAACGTATACGCAGCGTTTCCCTAAGTAGAAGTCCGTAGATTTCTTTTCTGTCACTCCATCAATACGAAGCAAGGCCGTATTCTCATGTTGGTTTCGTAGCCCTCTACGGTATCCTGTAAATGTTGCTTTTACATAAAGCCGACCCGGGCGTTTAAGCCTCTGCTTGATCTTGGTACCATCGGTTTCAGTGGGCTTTACCATATCCACACGCGTAATTTCGTACTACGACGGACTGATGACCTTGGGTAAATGCAAACAAATCTGTGTAGATTATTACACATATATTTATTTTGTAGCCAAAGAGCGTAGAAACTTTTGATGCATTTCCTTAAATTAATTTTGAACTACCTTCAACCTAAACGAATGCCAGGAATGACAATCTAAATCTCAAATTATATAGAAGACTTATGTAACTTGGGTTTTGTTGCTTTTCTTCAAGCTCCGTAACTAAAATCACTGAACACCTGAACAGTATTTTTATCAGTCTTGGAATGTATGCAGCCCCAGAGTTAGTGAAGGAAAAGCTTAAACCCATACAGGGAGAGGGGGTCATTTGTGTTTTAAATGTTTCGTTTAAATATGATTTCATAATACAATACAAATTTTATACCTGATGCTTCGGATTCGAGGTCTCTCTTATGTGCCCTTAAAGTTCTGGTTGAATTGAGATTGTTCATCTTGCTTTTGTTTATTTCAGACTCACATCAAAGTCGCAGGCAGGATAATTTCAAATGACATGGAGAAATTACCTGTCAGTGAGTCGCCATAGGGAGAAGGGAATTATTCGGTGAAAAGTGCAAAAGCTATCACTTTCAAGTTAAGACGATCATGCAAGTTCTGACAGAGGTATTCTTAGTCCCAAAAGTAAGCCCTATCTGAGCTGTGGGTACTAAGAAAACTGCGTAAATACTTGTTTCGCGTAAAATTCCATGTCGTGACTGATTATCAAGCGTCAAGTATTAATTACCACCTGAGTAGGTTACGATTTTACCATTGGGCACCGATTAATTTAAAGGACACCTAACGAAAGTGATTTTACTTTGATTAAACCGTCTTCTGTTGACATAGTAGTACTTGCAATGTATGCCTGCAAATACTTTGGAACACTTTTAAGAGCAGTTGAAAGGGTTTGCAATGTTCAGTGCTAGAGTGGGTTTTCTGAACCGAAAAAAAAGAGAGGACATATTACTACGCCCAGAAGGCTTTTTATGCTTTAATGATAGAGTAATTATTCTTCTATGAATAGATCAAATGGCTAGATGATCTTCACTCCACTCGTCTAGGAACAGTGAGAATTAAATCGGTCACTCTTCAGAATTTATCGTGGCCTGAGATTGACGCCAATATATATTGGAGATTGAAAAATTGTCCTGCTTGTTTACGTACATAGTAATACAATAAACCTACTTGGATACCATAACCTGCATCATGTGAATCTTGGCTTGGGGTTAAGTTGTAAATACGCTCACCGTGGGAGTGAAAATTTTGTAGTTTTTAAATCTGATGTAATAATACATGCTTCGATCAGAGTTTGTCCTCGTGTTTTGACGATGTTCTAGTTAAATAAGGATTATTCCAATTGCATTAATTTACATCAAATTGGAATGTAATGTAGCATGTTGTCAGGCAGAAATGGTGCGTCATAGAGCCTTTACCTATTCATTAGGGGGTTGGTTGATGTATTTTAAAGAATTATTTGTGGTATTGCCCTCAACTAAACCAGTGAGTCTGCTTATCCGACCGATTTTTTAGTCGTGTGTTTGGCGGCTTCAGATCACATACTTGAAGCGGTTGACTACTCAAGTTAGCCGCAGTTGTTTGTAATGTTTCTCGCATTTATTATATTATTGAGGAAGTTACTTCTATTGCGCATACACAATAAAAGAAAGCTCCTTTCAGTATAAAGAATTTATTGCGATAAGTTCAACATTTGGCCACCCTCAAAATGGTTTTTGCATGATAAGACTGTACCCGTTGTTGGGGTTTTTAGTGGTTTCTAAATTCGAAAGAACAGTTGAAGAGGTTAGATACGCGCCTTTCCCAGTTAATCCAACATAAAGGTAATTTATCTGAGTTAGAAACGATTCTAAACAATATTACACTGTTTTTTAACACAGTTTAACACCAAGTGTTTCCAATTTCGGAAGAATGCTTGCGTATAAGTCCAAAATTTCATCCTTCCGGTCTAGATTCAAAGTTCACCTCCCAGGGTGTCAAATTAGATATGGCTGACGCCATAATTAAACAGAAATTTAAACAGCATAATACAGTTCAGTGGAAAACATAGAAACTCCAATAAAGGTACAAAAAATAGTAACTATGATAAAATACAAATACTAACATCAGAGAATGGGATTAAACAGAGTACCATAAGGTAGCACAGAAAGAGTCAGTAATAACATATTACAAATATATTCATGGAGGGATTCCCCCAAAACAAAGTCTTCAAATTGGGTTCTACACGCGTGGCAGTAGGAATACAATTTAGCTATGTTTTGGGTGTTGTACTGTTCTCCGGATGTTCCGAAGACAACAGGTCCTTGACTGATTCACGTTCCATGTGAATAGTTTATTCGGATATTCGTCTGAAATATAGTGTCGTGAACTCCACAAAACCTCCTGCGAAGAGGTCTAAAGGGGCTCAGAAAACGCTAGGAACATAAAACATTGTCTCAAACCGTACGGCACATGAAACACTCAAGAGGTTACTGTTTTTACTCAACTGATTGGGAGTGCCAGGGGCCTCAGTGATTGACACTTGCTCACGGTTTCATTTGGAGTCATTCAAGCACTTCAGTATTATGGGTGAAATGACGCTACTACGCTCGCCATACTATCACTCTCAATCGATACCATTGTTGATACCATTACATGAATACTATTAAAAAGGATACGTAAGAGGTCTCTTAGTCATATAATTAGAGAGTTCTTCACTGCTCATAGTAATACTCTCAGACCCAACGTCCCCATATGAAGTCGCTTTTGGAAAAAGCATTCTTCAACGCAAAGTTCAAACTTAGAACAGTGGATAACTAGTGACTAAACCAGTCCATCAAAAGATTGAACCTGAGTGATAAATCACCCACCAAACCATACAATTGAAAAAATCAGTCAGAACATGGGATTATCACGAAAAAGAGACTGGAGAATGCTTGCTAAAAAGTGAATGGAGTTGTTCGGAACGTTTTGGAAGAGCATACTTATATGCTGATGATCTGAAAATCGTAAACAGCTAATAACCTGAAAATCTAAACGAAAGTATAGCCAGGATTCAGAGTGATCTTGATAACTTAACTACCTGGAGCGGAACATGGCAGCTACCGTTTAACCAAAATAAATGTGGCATCATGCATTTTAGTAAACATCACCATGGTATAACACTCTACTTACAAAAATTTAAGGTTCAGACACTTGCATCAACGCATGATCTGGGTACCCGTTAGTCCAGAAGCTTAAAATTCGAAGAACATGCCTCAACTATTATCTCTAAATCCAGACGAATGATTGGGTTTATAAATGAAAACTTTTGGCCAAGTTTGGCTAAGCTTACACTCTTCAAAATATGTATAAGGCCCTCACTTGAATATTGCTCACTTATCTTCTCAAACATGAAGATCATGGACAAGATACGGGTAGAAAATATTCAAAGAAGCTTCACCCGGTGACTGCTCGGATGAAGTCATAACCGCGACTACACAGAAAGATGCAAACATCTTTGCCCAGAACCTCTATGGCGGCGTCGGTTGAAAACACAACCTAATGCTTCACTACAAACTGATAAATGGTCTCTCGATTGTAAAATACCGCCAAATATTGAACCACGACACTGCTTACAGACTTCGAAACAACTCATATACACTATTAACGGCAAAACCCAAAAATCATTGCGTCGCAATTTCTTTGTAATGTGATACAGTCTATTGTGGAACAAGACACAATCTGTGACACAATCACTAAGTTCAACAAACTAGAAGTGCTGTTGCTGGACTCTAAAGAGATTTATCGAGTATTCCCGGGATTGACACCAAGCTCCCAGGCACTCTTTTATGGTCCACCAAATATTTAGATAAACCTTAGAAACTAATTACAGACTATGAACATATTATACCCGCGTTGCCATTCATACTGGTATCACGAAATCATAGACAAATCCCCGTGCTCCTACTAACAGTAACAGGTTACGCATTTAAGGTGCTACCCGTGACTTTTCTCCAAATTTAAATTCCAGTCAATAATACGTGTCTTCAAAGAAGTTTTAGTGTTTATTTCTAATCGAAAAATCGAAAAGCATGTAGATTCTGATCAATGACTGTCAATTACAAGGAACTCACAATGCCACAGGCATTTCGAGTTCCTTCTTGTTTAAGTACTAACAGTTTAATAAATTTTTATTTCTCCAGTTGATTACCATCCAAACACCTTGCCTCCTTACCAACAAATCGCTTTTCTTATCAATTTTTAACATAATCTCAACTATTTTTTCTTACTATAGCTCCCTATCCTTCCTATATCCAAACTACCTAATTACTGATACATATCTTAAATTTATCCCATTAGTTTACTTAAAATCAGTGTGGCATACTACGTGGATATTTTGTCTTTCATACAGAAGGCAAAGTTGTCTGGATTGCTCGTAACATGGAGCTAGTAGAGAAAGTGGATTCCGATAAAGTGTACAAAAAATGGAGAGTAGACCACAAAACATTATTAACAATGAACCATCAAACGTAAGACAGCCTTACATCACAAAAGAAGGGAGGGTGGTGTATCTGACGAGCATTCAAGACCGTGGGGCGATAACCTCATTCTACTCATGTCTGTGGGGCCGAGAGTTTTGTTTGCTTACGGCTCCTTACGATATAGCAGGATGCGACAAATCAGTGAAATTGATGTTACTTTTCCTTATTAACTTCGTCTACGACTCATTTCCGTAACCTTGCACTGGTTTTAACTTCCTACCATGAAATTCTATTACAAGCATTTCTGGACAATTATCGAGAAGAAGAGCTCATTCATAATTTCTTGAGCCACAGAGTTAAAAAGAAAAAGAATAAAAAACTAAAATAAAAGCATAAGATCACTGAGCCTCATTATTATATTCTGTGAATGAACATTGTTGCTAACAATTTGGTTGTGCTGAATCTGCTTTATTCCAAAGATTAAATATCCATTCGTCATCTTACGAATGGACTGTCTTCATTAACCTACACAAAAGCAGGCATACAGTTACTGTTCTAATGAAAAAATGTCTGGGTAAACATACCTTTGTTTAGTCCAGAAACGTATGTGCTGAGTCATTGTTCGTCTTTAAACAAGACTATTTTCTATTCTGCTCCTCTTCCTATTCTCTTTATTTTTCTTTTTTCAACACCTTATTCCAATACCTATGTATTAGTCCGGATATTTGACTTGGTTACTTTACCCAGGGGTCTGTAAATTTATCAACCAGTTCTTGGCAAATTTACCTCATCAACGCTTCTTTTATGCAGACGTGGCTCTACCTTGCATTGTTTCACAGTGATTCAGAAGCTCGTCGTAACGCATCCTATGTAACTCGCACCAATTATCCGCGTTCTACATTCCATCCAAATGAAGCCAATGTATCTTATGAAATATTTCAGTGACTGTACACTGTTTTAAAAGAAATATGTTGCCAATCTTAAAATTTTGATCTTGCCTGTAATTTGGCATGCCACTTGTAATATGTTTGTTATTTGAGAATAAATTATTGTTATTATTATTTACGAAGTAGCATGAGGTGCTGAAAAAAAGAAAGAAATAGGGGGAGGAGCAAAGCAAAAAATAATCGTGTGTAAAGCTGAATCATGGCTAAGATGATATTTTTTGGATAGAACAAAGTTATGAGTACTCAGAACGTCTTTCTTACGTATCAGAGAACTAACTATACTCCTGAGCCTCTATTTGTGAATAAAGGCCAGTCACAGTTAGGATCACTTATAGGCAAATGTTTAAATCCGCCAGTAGAACCTTCGGGGCCACTGCCGGTCCCAAGTCCGGATAAAGGAGGAGGGTTGCGCATGGGTTGGCGACCCCATCCCACCAAAAAACTAACTTGCCAAAAAAACGCTAGCCAGAATAAATAAATCAAACCATTTTAACTCTGCCTTGCGAGTCGGAAGAAGAACTAGGACGTCGCGTGATGAAAGCCGAGTTCCCTCGGACGTCACGGGGCCGATGCCTCTTCTGACAACCAGAGCAACGTTCACACATTGTGGGAGAATGGAAGACTTTTTCAAGTTGCTGCCGAAATGAGAAGATACAACCTGGAGGTGCTAGGAATCAGTGAATCGCATCGGACGCAGGTAGGAAAACTGAGGTTAGCTTCAGGGGAATCGCTGTTATACTCCGATCTAAACAAATGTGTGAAAGCTAATGTAGTTGGATAACAGCATTTTAAAGATTTATTGGAAATAAATACATGATTATTCTGGCACAAGATTTCCCACTTTAACAGTGGATACATTCCAGGAAAAATTTTCCTTTGGGCTGTCATGGTCATTAACAGCTCCATGCAGATATTGGTTAGTCAATGATAGTTTGGTGTAAGCGATTCTGACTTGACGTTCTACGTTCAAGGAAACCAGAAGTTATTCAAATTAGAATTTATCAAATTACGATCGTCATTACCCTAGCCGTAAATATGTAGTTTTGCTAAATCCAATTAAGTCATCGGAAACCTAGGGAGTAACAAGATGATCTTGTAGTTTCGGTGGCAGTTTGACTGAGCACATCCTTGTCCAGATGTTAAGCCATTTAATGTATACAGTGGCCTGAATTAGGAAATACGTGCGCACCAAGCGGAAGGCTAGTGCTGGTTAGCCTCTTATCTTCAAGGAAACCTTAAAACTTGAAAAAGATAGATAAGGAATATCTTGATGCCATACTGGTTGCCACAAATTGTCATGATTTTATCATGAATGGGGGCATATCCAGACCGATTCAACCCTTTACCTTTCGATGAGGTTATCTGCCTGGCGTACTTGATGATAACGTTTTCAAGATATTACCATAACAACTAATATCCCCCACGAATTGCTTCATCATCTTATATTAGCAATATTTATCATATAAGTAGGAGACATTTTCAAGAAATGTAGGTTTCCACAGCAACCTGCAACACAATGTTAACAACCAACCGAAAAAGTCCTGTAGCTTGATGGTACACCCCAGGTAGTTTTGACGATATAATAGGATGCAAAATGATGGCAATAAGAATAATATCCAACAATCGTGATAACTCCGAGGAAGTGACAAGCGTGAAGGTGAGCAGGGAAGCATCTCAGCCTCCGGCAGCTAAGTTCAGTGCTAGAACAAAATAAAAATTATAAGACATTAAAGAAAGCAACTTTTACGAAAATAATACACTTTTTGAAATTTTCTTTGTCATTAGCGGTATGAAAATCTGTAATATTTTCAACTCTCCATATTCCGCAGTGATGGAGCACTTAATTCAGCTCAGATAAACTATTATTCCATTTTTATACATTTTTGTGGAACTGTGGTGAAACGTTACTGATCTGAAAAATGTAATGTATTCGTGTAATATATTACATTTTTGAGACCAATTACGTTTTCTCACAGTTCTATTAAATGAACTAATAAGAACAATATAAACTTGATAAAAAAGAAAAGATTTTTTGTCATTACAATGATACTGGGGATGACGTAAACCCCGCCACTAACTCACGGTTCTGATTGGTTGCCAAGATGAGTGGCGGGAACGTGTGTATGCTTTCATACTTCATTAATTCATCTGAACTCACCCTTATGTGAAAGTGCTTGGTAAAGCAACTGAATCAGATCCAGTTTATTTCGACATAGTATGTTAGGCGCTTTATACTTTTTTTGGGTTGTAATACATCCGGAACCTTCAGCTGTCAAATCGTTTCAACCATCAGATTGTCTTAATCCTAGAATCGTGTGAATACTGTCTGTTGTTGATTGTTTTTATTATTAGATGAAATGGCTTGCTGTCTGCTAACCGAGTCATTGGCTCTCTTTTTCTCTTTTCCAGATTCCTACACATACTGCTGATCACACTCCACTAACAAACAAGGTACCACGTACAAAAAGCTGAACGTCATGAAGACGAAAGAGTCTCTCAAAAGACTACAGGATGCTGACAAAGTTTTTGATTTAGTGCATAGACTTTGTTCAGAAGACAGCGCAGTAGCTAATATAGCTTGCCAAGAAGCCGATAGTTTTCTTAAACAAAAGTGCAGTGATGGTAAATTTCAACTCTACTTTTCATCATATGATAACCATAGGTTTCGACAGATCTGTTATTAATAAATTAGATCAATCTCCAAATAACCCAGGCAATACTCAGAGTTAGTTTGTATTTCACTCGGAATACTTTTGTTGGTTTGTGTATTGTATTATTTGGTGGTTTATTACCTTTAGACGATATTCTTTGGATACCCCATAGTCATTGTATTACTTATTGATACAATTCAAAATGAGTTCAGAGCCAGTAGACATGATTTCATTGCAATTCCGACTAATTTTGACCCCTTATGCACACGAGATACTCCTTAATTACTTAATATATTGCATTTGTTAATCAAAACTAATGTACTGATGTACACATCATGCATTCTACTTCGTGATTATAAAATGGTTGAAGTATTTTTTCCTTAGGGGATGTTTTCGTGTCTAATTCAGAACGCCCTATTGGTCTATATAAATTTGATTCATCATTTCCTATGGAAATTCTTATTTATTTGCTACTGATGCATAGAGAACTCACGTATATGACCATCTGTAAATAAAATTGACCGAATTCGAACTCCTCGGTAAAATAAACTAATGCATAGCGAAAATTCATAGTTATACTTGTTGGACTGATTATTAGGTAGCACTTCTTTCAGCCAAACTATGGTAGGCAGAGTCTCCCAAGGAAATATCGATACAAATGTACTGACAAGGTCATTGATGAGTTACAGTTGTATTAATTATCAGCCTCTACTTCTAGCAATGATTGTTTCTTGTGTTCTGTGTTTCAAAACAGGAGGTTTCCGATTCTTAAATCGGTTAATATGCCTATGAAGACGCTAACAAAGTGCAGTCTTCCGACTACCCTGTGCAACAATGCAAGCAAATTTTGGTTGCGGTTCTTAATGCAACAGCAATGATTATAAGTAGAACTGGACATTAGAAATATATTTTGAAAAGACAGAGTGTAAAGTTCTGTATAATGGAATACTGGAATTTAGGACAGAAAGAATGCATCAATACCATTGTGAATGTTTCTGAACGATGTTACACAATCCCCAGCCACTGATCGCATCAGTCATACGGACCTAAACAATGTAGTCTGTATTTACCCAATGGATAGTGGCTTTATTGACAAATGTCACGTTTTGGTTTAACCTCCTACATATTTCTTCAACTTCTATTCTGTCCAACATCGCATACCAAGATAGGCATTGGTTTGGCATACTTCATACATCCGAACCGACTCAGTTGATGAAGGCTCAAAATCCCATCAGACTGTTTGTCAGCTTTATCTAGCATTTCACTCACTCGCTTGTTCCACAAAACACGCAATGCTTGGAAGACATCTATACTCAAGAGTATGTTGTCTACGCATGTTCCCTACTTTCAGTGTTCACGTTTAATTAGGTAATAAAGAGTGAGCTGTTGCTCAGTGTACACGTCCTTTGGTTGACGGATAGGTATCTTGCGTACGCCACAAGTGATAGATGTTGGCAAAGGCCAGTCCTGCCTTCTGAACTCATGTTGATATTTTGTCAGGCATTAACCTATTAGATCTGACGAGACTTACGCGCTAATTAAAGTGTAATGCATAGAAGGACGTCTATGAGGAAATGAAATAAAAAGGGGGATAGTAGATTTACTCTAACCAAGGACTATATAATAATTATATATGAATTTAGTATTCATAGGTTTTTGTTAAGAAATAATTTTCGAGGAATACCGTGCAGATGTAGTTTATTCGATACATCGCTCTTATTATTGTCAGCTACTATCTTATTCGGATGAGAAATAGTTTTCCTATGCAAACATTTTCCATGGGGTGTGCATGCATTTATATTCACTATCCGTAAACGATAAAATTTTTGTGTTATATATTTACCGGTTTTTTGAATTTTCCACATAGATGGTGTAACTGGAAAAACAGATGATATGACTGCATTTATGGCAGCAGTTGCACAAGACGCACAAGAACGTGCTCAGCGACGAGCTAGACAACGAGAACGTGCAGATAAACTGAAGGATCGTGCAAATACATTTTTTAAGGCTGGGGATTGTAAAAAGGCTGTTGAATTGTATTCACAGGCAATCGATGTAGCAAAGGACTACGATATTTTATATACTAATAGAGCTCAAGTAAGTTACGAGTAAAACTGGTAGAATTTTTTCATACCAATATTTAAATTAATGAGTAAATTATGATTTGTAATTTGTTCAGAATTTTGTCCAGAATCCAACTTCAATTTTTACGAACAATTGAATACGCTAAGAAATAAGTCTTCTCTTCACTTTCCATATATCATTCTTAGGCTAACCAAGTTTTTGTGTGACGGCGGTATTTATACTCGGAAAAAATAAGCGAGACATGATAAATAAAGCACGCAATGCACACATGCACTCAAAAAATATCAAGGTTCTAAGCAAATAACTGACAAGGTCAAAAGACGTGATTAACTCGATGAGAATGGATCAAATGGTTCATCCAAAGGGATAAGCCGTGTGGGTCGGACATATTAGTATACACTACAGTAACTCTAGTATCCTTCAACTGTTACATACTCGAACTGACTTCGAATTATGGGACAAGACATTCTTAAATTTCGATGTTTATTTATTACACCTAGCTCCACCAAACAAACAATTCTCACTAAGCACGGCTTTTTTTGTGGCTCGTTCCTTTCTTCTTAGTAGATAGTGGGGGTTGCGGAGTTGTGTCATATTTACTTACTCTCGCTTCAATTTTTATCATGCACCTTGGCGTTTGTCAGTTTCTTATGGAACCTCGTTGTTGTCCCTTGAGCTCTGCGGTCACGCTCTCAGGTCTCTAAGACCAACACTAATCAACCTTTTTTTTCAGGTTCTTCAAGAAACCCTTCCACTGTGTAGGCAGCCGGGAAGTGACATCTTCCCTCATACTCGTAACAACACACGAGACCAAACTGGTCAGAAACAAATCCCCTCTGTACTTTTTAATAATACTCTTACCTCCATGACCAAACATTCTCATGTTCTTTTATCACCTCGCTCCGCTAATGCAAACAATTCGAGTTCACCAAACGTTATTCCTGGTCTACTGAATCCCCCTTCTAAACTATATGTTGTAGATCTTAATTTTCGGATCTTATATCAAATAAGACAACAGGATTCCTTAGCTAGGACTTTAGAATTTCATGCTGTCGATGTATGCTGCTTCTCTGAAATGGCATACAGGATGCGAGTAGAATCAATAATTTGACTTCACCTTGTCCAAATAAAAAACCAACAGTTTACTCCCATATATTTGGAAGCCCTGCTGCTGCTTCCCGAGGTCTTGCTGGTGTTGGTATAGCATTGAGTCCCAGGGCAGAACTAGCTCTTATAGACTGGGTCCCAGCAGATAGCTGCTTGTGCGTTGTCTGACTAAAAAGGGACAGTAAGGACTCGGAAAGATAGGGACATTCGCCGTTGCCTGTTTGTTGTCTCTGCCTAGGCTCCCACTGACCGCAGCACAGATGAGGTGAAAAATGAATTTTACCGAGAACTTTCTAACCTTCTTCAGAACGTTAGGCGCTCTGAAGTAGTATTAGTAGCTGATGACTTTAATGCATAAATAGGTAGACTAAGCGAAACTGAAAGATACCTGGGTAGGCCTTATGGTGTTGCAACTCACATAAAAGATAATTGCGACCGTCTGCTGTATATATGCTTAGATAATCACCTATTTCTTGCAAGTACCAACTTTAAGCATAGGGAGAAACATCTCTTGACCTGGTGACCCCCAAAGTTGTCACAACGCTGGACCCAACTAGATCACATCGTCATCGGCCACGGATGGAGGTGTTCGATAGAGGACTATCGCTCGTTCTGGGGCACATGTTTAGATTCAGATCATGCCCTAGTGCGAGCTCGTATTTGTTTGAGGCTTACTGGACTTAGGAAAGACACCGCAAGGAACCCTCTTCCGGTTTTACTTAACGATAATAAAGCTAAGAATTTATTTGAAGAGCAACTAGAAAGAGAGTTAGGCAACTATGTAAGCGATTCCCATCCGGAAGCAGATTGGAATGATATCAAGAATGCTGTGGGAACAGCAGTGATATCTGCTAGTAAGGTAAACCATAAGGCTAGAAGCTGTGAATCTCAGTAGCATCCATCGAACATGATGAAGAGCGAAGTTAGCTTAAGCACAGACTGATAAAAAGCTTTCGCAACGACCGTGAACAGTGGTGGGTGGCGAAAGCAAAAGCGATGGAAAAGGCAGCGGCGATAGGCAACAGTAGACTTTTTCGACTTATCAAGGAAACTGGTATTAAGAATCCTAGTGTAAGTGAGACTATCTCGGAAAATGATGGGACTATCATTTATTCTCAATCCAGGAGACTGGATCGATGGGCAGATCCTGAATGGCAAATCGACGTAAGCCCTCCAAACCTTATGAAGTTGAAAAGGCTATAGGAAATCTAAGGCAAGGGCGAGCAGCAAGTCCTGATAGACTGACCTCTGAGATATTTAAGGATGGTGGTCCAGTTTTTGTAGCTAGATTGACTAAGATCTTAGGTAGAATATAGGATCTGGACACAATCCCATCCGAGTGGTCTCAATCCCTGATTGTCCCAATCTATAAGAAAGGACAAAAGTCACAATCACAGGGGAATCAGTCTAATATAGTTTCTAAATTGTTAGCCTCGACTATACTTAGATGCCTTGTAGTGCCTCCACGTATATTCGAGTTCGCTTACATTTAATTTGGTTAAGCCCTTTCGATTAATTTATTTAACCAAGCCATTTGTAAAACAATAACTTATATGTACCATTGGCTTTTACTATTGTGTGGTTTGTATGAGCTGGTACGACTGAGCATTGCTTACCGCCTACGCACATATGCATCCTATTCGCTTTAATATTGATCTTTTAAATATCACGATGACTCAGACGTTTTCCTATGTATATATACGAACAATTTTATCTTATTAGTTCACTCGCACATTCGCCCATTCACTCGCTAGTATGCCTGCCAGGTCTGCTTGTGGTCTGCTATCCCTATTTGTGATGTGCCAAAATAAACGTATTCAACACTTCGAGTTTACTTTCTGATTTATTAACCGTCAGACGCCATGTAGTAACGATTGTCTGGACGAGCTAATTACGAAAACTAAGAACACGTTGAAATAGGCCACCACAGCCTTACTAGTGCTCGTGAAGAGCAGACTAGAGAAAACCAGTCTGGTTTCAGACCTGGACGTGGATGTATAGACCACATTTTCACACTAAGACAGGTCCTGGAACACAGGCATACATTTAGGCGTCCTACAAAAGTTTTGTTCCTGGACCTAAAAGCGGCATTTGACTCAGTGGATCGTGAGGTTCTGTGGCAGTGTCTGTCATTGAAAGGTGTACCAAAGAAGTACATAAACCTTATACGAGCTCTCAACTCGAACACCATTGGTCAAGTGAGAGCTTATGGCGAACTGTCACCGGAATTCTTTACTTCAAGTGGTGTCCGTCAGGGATGTCCACTCTCTCCATTCTTGTTTAATTTTGTCATAGACATGCTCCTAGATATAACCTTATCCTCTTCTGAATTTTCAGTAGACCTTTTACCAGCAGGCTCGCTTATTGACTTAGGATATGCCGATGACATAGTTCTATTCGGTGAAGACGCTGACAAAGTGTAGAGTCTTCTGACTACCCTAAGCAACAATGCGAGCATGTTCGGGATGCGGTTTTCCTCCTCGAGATGCAAAATGTTACTTCAAAATCGGGTTGCATTGGCACCTGAACTAGTGATAGTGAGTGAAGTAGTTGAGCGTGTAGACCGCTTCACTTATCTGGGGAGTCTTATCAGTGCCGATGACCTGGTGACTGACGAAATCTCAGCTCGGATACAGTAAGCTCGGTTGACTTTTGCCAACCTGCGTCACTTATGGTGCAGGCGAGATATCCGCTTGTTCACCAAAGGACGAGTGTACTGTACAGCTGTTCGCTCCGTCCTATTTTACAGATGCGAAACATGGCCGCTAAGAGTAGAGGATTTTCGTAGGTTACTAGTATTCGATCACCGATGTCTCCGAAGCATTGCTCGTTTATCGTGGGACAACCGAGTAAGCAATGCTGCCATTAGGAAACGAGTACTAGGTAACGATGGCAGATCAGTAGATGAAGTGGTGAAACTTCATCAGTTAAGGTGGTTAGGACATGTATTACGTATGGCTAACCACCGACTGCCTCGACGAGCTATGTTTTGTTGTGTAGGAGTAGGTTGGAAGAAAGTTAGGTGCGGCCAAACCAAAACATGGCAGAAATCCATGAAGTCATTAACATGTGGACTGAGTCGTGTTGGTAGATGTAGACTACCTGGTTGGGGTCTGCGAGACGGAAGTCACTAATGGTTAGAGACCTTGAACGACATGGCTCACAATCGTTCGCGATGGCGCAGATGCATCCACCCTTTGTGTTCTCTCTAATTCTAACTTTCTGAATTCCTCATAATCTCAATCTTCCTCCTAAATTTATCTTACTGAATTATACTTCTCAAATCATATCTTCGCTAACTAGTCTTCTCCATTACTTCTTATACTTCTACTGTCACTATCACTCTTGGATTTGAACTGGCAGTTACTTCTCTGTGCTGATGTGGTATGGCGACCTGATCTGATGTACTTATGTACGATGTTCTGCGTTGTATCTGTGTCTTTTCTTGAATCTTTTCCGAACTATCAACATAGATCCATTCCTCATAATGTTTGCTCTTTTAGCCCAGCACATCTTTATATTTTGAAGTTATGGCTTCTCTAATATCCTTCCTCCTGTTCTCCACAGCAGTATCCTCCTCGTTGAGTAGATCTTGTGCTGTTTGTTACTTATTGCTAAGAGTTATTTTTTTTTTGTTGAGTTTGTCGGTATCCTGAGGAAATGCTGTTTCAAATCTCTGCAATGTTGTTAGTTCAGTTTCCCAGTGCTTCTTTAACTTCGCTTTCAACCTGGCCACCGCTAGGTGGTGATTTGAATAGATATTATCTCTTCTCATTGCCTTTATGTCTTCCATGGATCTTCTGAACTTTTTATTGATGCAGGTGTGACCGAATTGTTTCTGTGTAGTGTGATATAATGAAACCCATGTGACTTAGTCTATGCGTTTGTGTGGGAATATGGTGCCACCTATAACCATTTCGGTGAAGGCACTTAGACTTGTATATCTTCCACCATTTTGGTTGTTTTTCTCCCAGTCCATATCGTCCCATGATATCTTCATATCCGGTGTTGTCCATTCCAACACTAGTGTTTAGATCTCCCATCAAAATCGTCACTGTAAAATTGATCCTTATCATTTTCGTTACTATCATAGGTGGGTGCATAACACTAGATGATACTCAGTGTAATCCCCTCCTTTGTTTCGAAAGGTGCTTTGATGATCTTGGGTCCTTGAGACTGCTATCCTATAAGTTCTTTTCTTGCTTCCTTCGAAAATATTGGTGCAACTTCTTGATTATTACTCTGATCGTAAAAAGAGTAATCGACCTCGTGATCTCTGAAAAAACTCGGCCTTCGCCATCAGGCGTCTTAAATCTTCCAAATGTGGACCCCTCTAACTCCGACGACAGAGTTTAATCAGTTTAAATGATATTTTCTGGATGTGATTACTAATCCCATGCTTAACCTTCATCGTTTATCTGTGCTTGGGACCGACAGGAACCATATAAAGACTGCTGAAGGAGTTAACCAATGCATACTTGAATTACATTCGCCTAAACTCTTCATGTATTCTGACTGTAGTGCATATAGTTCATAGTCTTGGAGTATTAGATAATCGCTCTTTAATCAACTTCCCATTTTACCACAGTTTAGAGTGTCCTATATAGTCTACAAGTAGCATAAATGACATAAGTCAAAGCTTATTTTGTACCTCCGTAGAGATTTATTTAACTGTTAGAAACTAAGGCTAATGTCACTAAAATTAAGCGAAATGATCATTGCAAGCGTTCACTTTAACTTCGGTTTTTAATTTAAGCATATACAGTGATTGGATGCTATGAATTACTCACAATATTCACACATCACTCAATGAGTTCAGTTTACAATTCTTATGTGAGAGAACTTTATTGTCAGCTCGCAGTAAGGTAATGTTTAGATCTTTTCCACTTTGCTTAGTATCCATATCATGCCATGGTACTAACGAATTTGGTCTCGTGTACTGTTACGGGTATGAGGGTGGTTTTCACTTCCCGGCTGCCCATACCGTGGAAGGTTGTTCCCTGAGGAACCTGAAAAGGAAGGTAGATTAGTGGTGGTCTTGGAGACCTGGGTGCGTGACCTCAGAGCCCAAGGGACAACTGCTTGAGGCCGTCCACACACGGCCTTTTTATGAAGGGTTTTTTTAGCATTAGGTCCGCTCTTGAAAGCCCTTAATGGGCACCCTTACCGCCGGAGACGGAAATCCGTGAGGTAGGGTGAGGTGTGACATTTTTAGGGTCGACCTTTTCTAACCCTTCCTTCCCTGTGAGAAGTCAGCATCGCTGCAGATGCTGGTTGTCCGAGGGAAACAGCTTACTGCTGTCACACCCCTCTGCAGTGAGCAGTACGTCTTCGCCCTGCGTTGTATCTGTCTCTGTCGTGGTACTAACAGGTATCGAATATCAGGGAGTTCAATAACAGATGATGTGAAGTGATTGGTAATGTTTTCTCATCATAGCGAATCTATCTCATGTTAAAATTCCAGAACTAGACAAGTTCTATCTATTGAGCTATTAATGATGTAAAATTGTTTGTGTAAATAAATCACTTCTAAACACAAATGTCAATGTTTGCCATAATAAACACGAAGTACCTTTTAAACCCTAATCTTATATGCACAGTAGAAGGATGCCATGTAAATTTCTAAGCTTTTTCTGTATCAAAACTGTACTACTATTAACTTTAAAATACTAGACCAGTATGAGTTAGTTAGTAGACAATTAGCGACTCTCTCACTTTACAAATGTATTATTCTGCTTCATTCTGTTTCGTATTTTGCACAAAAGTAAACATTCGTTTTAAAAAATGTTTATCGTTCATTGTCCAATTATTTGGAAGTTATGTAAGTTTTTTGCGTGTTGTTTTCAAGTGAACTGACCATTCGCATTATAAAAATACTATAAAGTTATTAATAAGCGGACAGTAATTATGACGACATAAATATTTCCTGTTATGATCCATCGGGAAATAACCAAACATTCTTCATTTTCAAATAGGCATCTTTTATAGGACATTATTCATAAACTAACTTCAATCGGTCGACAGAGAATTGTGTGTTCATTTATTCCATTTTAATCGTAAACAACACGTTGAATACTGCATCGTAACAATATTTGTCAATTTTTTTCACAAACATCAATTCTCAAGGTTTAATCAATCAATCAATCGTACGTAAGTACATCAGCTCAAATTGTCATACCACATTAGTACAGGGATGCAATTGTCCATTCAAATCCCATGGTAGTAGAAGTAGTAAAAGATCTTATTGAAGAAGTAGAATCTAGTGAAATAAACTTAAAAAGAAAAAGATAAAGGTGATGAGGAACTCCGATGGTTAGGGTTTGAGCGAACCCAATGTTAGGATATTCATCCAATATCCTAAGAGAACTATTAGCCAATTCCTACTGGTCAATTTTATGGTCATCCTAGATATTCATGTCACTTCAAATGTTGCTTCCTATTGGTCGTCTTAACTGTCAATGTCACAGACTTCGATGCTGTTTCCTATTCGACCAAAATGTATAAATACGCATTATCTGTAACGTTTTATGACCAGGACCCGGTCCCGGGTCCCTAGTCCGAGATCCTGATTCTCTTCTGGACTCGGACCTCGTACTTTCTGAATGCTTGTAGAATACATGTTCTACTTCATATCAAGTCTTGTCTTATTTTTACTCAATATAGGGGTTGAGATAATCGGATTTGAGTAGCATGTCGTGTTACTGGATCCTCGGTCCTCGCTCTCGTTGACGTGTTGACGTGTTTACGTGCAGGCATAACACCCAAACAATGAATGCACATGCACCATCGCAAACGATTCAAAGCCATATCGTTCAGGGTCTCTAACCATCTTCAAGTGTTAATGTTAAATTTGAAAAGCTTTTTTTTCTTATACAATTAAAAAAACATTCACCTCTAGCTGACCTTATGCATTGATGTAATTTATTCTTCGTTTTTTTTTTTAATATTTTAGGCATATCTTCGTCTTGGTCAACCTGATTTATCATTAAAAGATTGTGACACTGCATTACTACTATTTCCAGATACACAAAAACTTAATACAGATATAAAATCTACTACAATGACAAATAATAATAATAATAATAATAATAATAATAATAATAATAATAATAATCATGATACTGTTTCTAATTCTCGTTTAGCTAAAGTTCATTTACATCGTGGTAAAGCATTAATGTCTTTAAATCGACCATCGGAAGCACTTTCCTCTTATTCATTATCACGTTATTATTCAACATCAAAAAGTGAAAAATATACATCAACAAAATTAAATAATGAAAAATGGCCAAATTATTTAGTTGAATATGTTTCACAAGCTGAAGCTGCTTTAATTACACAAGAAGCGGATGCAAAAGCTGAGGCGAATTTCGCTCAATCAGCTATAGGTTTTAAGTCAAAAAATATGAATGATGATAATTCTGAAATAATTCCTCCTAGGTTAGTGGTTTATTTTGTGTAATTCTTTGATTTACTCTCTCTACATATAGTTTCTTGTATTGTTTTTTCAGATATCTGTCTGCTTTGAAACAGTTGTAGGGCTTATTTATTGTGATAATCTAGTGGAACTACTGTCAGGAACACTTGTTTTTATCGTATTAAGTAGGTTAATAGAAGAATAATTAGACTAAAGGTGGCGACCTGAGGTTTGAGAATCATATCGTATGGCTGACTATACTGGGGTTTCACTGAAGTAAGGTGTTTCTCTCTGACAGCCACCATCTGCATAGGTGCTGCCTTCCCACAATGGAAGGCCCACAAAGGCCATGTGTAACGGACCTCAAGTAGTTATACTATGGGCTTTGTAATCAAGCTGCTAGGTCCCTACGACCTTGTTCCTATTCAGGTCCCTCTAGACGAAATATCCATTCACGGTGTTCGACCAGAAAGTATCAGTTGTTTTTACAATTGCTGACCGAATTCTATCGATCAAAGTGCAATGTACATACTAATCTAGGTGGCTCGACATTGTGTGCATCATGTTGATATATGAGATGATGGTTGAAGGTAGTCGACAGGAAACCCTGAACCTAGGTTTCGTGCCGTTTGACTCTCGTCAGCAAGATGTACCTGTAATCTCGAGGGGACTGTCGCTCCTGGCGGATTCAAACATGGAAGAAATCCATGAAGTCATTGACGAGTGGACATAGCCATGTCGGTAATTGTCGACTACCTGGTTGGGGTCCGCGAGATGATAATAATCGATGGTTAGAGACCTTGAATGACATGGCTCAAAATCGTTCGCAATGGCGCCGGTGCATTTATTCTTTGTGTTCTCTCAAATCCTAATCTTCTGGATTCTTCAACTTTGTAAACTTTTGTCACTGAATCATACTTCTTGAATAATATCTTCTAATCCTAACCTCTTCGATTACTCCTAATACCTTTACTATCTCTTCTACTATTGGATTTGAATTGACAATTACATCTCTGTGCTGATGTGGTATGGCGACATGAACTGATGTACTTATGTACGAAGTTCTACGTTGCGACTGACTGACTGACTGAGTGACCTGGCGGATTCGATCTTGTATCACCTAGCTTCACAGCCAGAGACGTTACCAACGAGCTACCCGGTTTGCAACTGCTCCGTAGGACTAAGGTGTATTTACAGTTCATTGGTTACTCGGTAGTGAGTAACCAATGCTACATCAGCGAAAATCGTCCGCCACAACTTTGACAGCATCCGCAATCACCTTGTTCATAGCATGGGAATCGTCTCATCATTACATGTACGTGACCACACTAATAGTTAAACCTGTGACTGTTAGGCTACTAAGTTTCCATCCAAATGTGTATGTTTTTTAACTTACAGTTTATTGATTACTAAAGATTCTGGGATTATTCATAATATAATCTGACTAGTATGGTTACTCCATTCTATTATTCAGTCTTTGACATTTTTAAATGTAAATAGTTTTATTTATTTATTCTGAGTATGTTATGGTGAAAATATACATTGCTAATCGTTTGATTAGAATGTAAATTAGTGTGAAGCGGTCGGTACTAAATTGACTTTGTGAGCTGTTACATTCACTGATCTTTCCCGACTGAACTACAGTAAAAATAAAGTGACCAACCAGTTCACTGCACCAATCTCAACTGCATTCTTTTATTTTGATACTTGATACTTTCTTATGATATAAAATTGTAAGATAACATTTTCAGTTGGGTATATAACACATAACCAATTGTCAATGAACATTGTAAACATTTATTTGTTAAAGTGACGGACCAAAAATCTATCATTATCACAACGGTGTGATAGAGTTATTTCAAAAGGAGTCTAGAACAATGAACGACACCCAAATATGTAAAAATTTACGTATTAAAGTAATATAGTGTTGGGGATGTTAGATCCCCAAAATTCGCTTGATAATGCCGTATTTCGGTTTTCACGTTCGCCAGCAGGGGCTGATCAAATGACCTTGAGATTTCAATTCCCACCAGGAAAATCAATGGCTGTGATTGGCTGCTGTGTATTTTAGTATGCTATTTTCTTAACTGTCTCAAGGACGTTGTTATGTTGTATAAATAAACGAGAGTTGTATGCTTGATTGTACTGGATTGCTGGGTGCTTGTAGAATATACTTTCTACGCTTACCAAGACTTCTGTTTTACCGTTTGGATTCAAGGTAGCCTTCCTGGAAGCTGGTAAAAGTCTCGTTCGCGTTTATCGACTAAGGTAAACTCGTAATAGCCTCAAGCATCCTAAGTGACGAACATATCAGTGGCGACGGGGTAAAAACCATATCCACAAAACATATCAGTGGCGACGGGGCTCACAATTCACAATGTCAATTAACCTTGAACAGTTAGAATCTTTACTGGAACGTCAAGGTAAACGATATGAACAGTTCCAGGAACGTATGTTGGAGCTGTTAAGGAAACAAATGAATTTGAACCCACGAGATTGTTCGTTTTCTGAGACTGTTCAGACTTTAAGCCAACACTTTGGAGACAACTCGTCACTATTTAATACTCGTTATCGATGTTTGAAGCTTATTATGAACGAAGATGATGATTTTCTTACGCACGTGGGCATCGTCAACCGTGAATGCGAACGCTTTCGGTTGAAGTCTTTGTCGGAAGACCAGTTCAAAGCCCTCATTCTCATCTGCAGCCTCCAGTCGAGTAAGTTCAGTGACATTAGAACAAGGCTACTAAGTCGGTTGGAGCAAGATCCAAAGCTTACGCTTAATGATATGGCTCATGAGTACCAACGTCTCACTGACCTACAACGAGACTCGACTATAGTTCAGAGTGGTAGTTCAAGCCGATCTGAAATTCATTTGGTACAGCAGCCACCTAATCATTATAAGTCTGCCCATGCTACACCCAGTTCACCCCGCTCCAATTCGGCCCAAAAACCCAAAATGAATCCACCTTCTGCTTGCTGGCACTGCGGTTCATGGCACTATGTACGGAACTGCCCATTTAGGCAGCATAGATGCAGGAAGTGTAAAGTCATCGGTCATAAAGATGGCTTTTGCCTACAGAAAAAGCCAAAGCGATCCAGAAGTGCTAAGAAGCCTCTTCCTAGATCCAGTACCAATGCATTGAGCCTAATATCTTCCTGCCAAAGTTCATCACCAGGTGAGAGGAGATTTATTACTCTTAATATTAACGGTTATTTGTGTAGAATGCAAATAGATACTGCATCTGATGTCACTATCCTCTCACGCAAAAATTGGACCAAGTTGGGCAGCCCAAGCCTGCAGCACACAACACAAAAGCCTCGCACAGCATGTGGTAATTATCTTCGTCTGTTAGGACAATTGGAATGTAAAGTTGCTTTCCGGGATTCGTCGTTTACTGGGGTATGCTATATAACGCCAGCTGATCTAAATTTACTTGGTTTAGATTGGTTCGACCAGCTAAAATTGGCTGATGTCCCGCTAAATACCATATGCAACCTGGTATCACAACGACATGACCCAGAAGCGTATACGAAGAAGCTGATGACAGAGTTTTCAACCATTTTTGAACCTGGATTAGGTCGGTGCACTGCTATGAAAGCAACACTTCGGTTGAAACATGGGGCTAAGCCTGCTTTTCGTCCAAAGAGACCTGTACCGTATGCTACATTAGCAACAGTAGATGAAGAGCTGGATCGCCTTCAACGACAAGGAGTTATTACTCCCGTTTCTTACTCCAGTTGGGCAGCACCTATAGTCGTTATCAAGAAGGCCAACGGCACGATACGTATATGTGCTGACTTCTCTACAGGTCTCAACGCAGCTCTAGAACAGCATCATTATCCTCTGCCAGTCCCGGCAGATCTGTTCACTATGCTGAATGGGGGAAAGTTCTTCGCAAAGCTTGACCTAGCTGATGCTTATTTGCAAGTGGAAGTCGATGAAGCATCTAAAGAGCTGCTTACTATCAACACTCATCGCGGTTTGTTTCAGTATAACCGTCTACCTTTTGGAGTTAAGACTGCGCCGTCTATCTTCCAACAACTAATGGATACAATCCTGTCAGATATCGCAGGGGTTGCAGCTTATCTCGATGATATCTTGATTGTTGCGAAGACGTTAGAACAGCTACGGGAACGCACGACATTGGTACTACAACGCATCAGTGACAATGGTTTCCGGTTACGCCCAGAAAAATGCCAGTTTCTATTGCAGTCGGTAAAGTATTTGGGATTTATCTTTGATGCCGACGGTCGCAGACCGGATCCTGAAAACATCCGAGCTATCAAACTGATGCCTACTCCCACTAATGTTTCCGAATTACGATCTTTTCTCGGTTTGATCAGTTATTATTCAGCTTTTGTTCCCTCGATGCATGATATTCGCGCTCCATTGAATTGTCTACTGCAGAAGCATAGCACATGGAACTGGAATAAAGAGTGTGACGCGGCTTTTGGTAAACTCAAGTCTATAATTAGCTCGGAATTGTTATTAACACACTACGATCCATCCATGCCGATCATCGTAGCAGCAGACGCTTCAGCATATGGCCTAGGTGCTGTTATTTCACATCAGTTTCCAGACGCGTCAGAAAAAGCCGTTATGCATGCATCCCGTACACTGACCCCAGCAGAAAAGAAGTATAGCCAGATAGAGAAAGAAGCTCTTGCCCTTGTGTTTGCTGTTCGCCGTTTCCATAAGTTTCTGTACGGTCGGAGATTCACGCTCCTCACAGATCACAAGCCTCTGTTAGCAATATTTGGTTCAAAGTCTGGCATTCCAGCCCATTCTGCAAATCGTCTTCAGCGATGGGCCTTGGTACTTTTGGGGTATGATTTCGAAATCCAATATCGACGCACTCTACAATTCGGTCAAGCAGACGCTTTGTCACGACTCATTAATGATCAAGTGGCGGCTGACGAAAACATGGTGATCGCATCTCTGTCAGTAGAAGACCACGCAGAATGTTATCTGACAACCGCAGTTCGCGCATTACCGGTGTCTGCAACAGACATACAAAAGGCTTCTAGAAACGACCCCATCATCAAGATGACGATGAAATATGTCACTAAAGGTTGGCCGTCGAAAAAGTTTGAAGGTGACATGAAGCAACTGTATCAGCGGCGGGATTCACTATGCATCGTGAACGATTGTCTGATGTTTGGTGAAAGAGTAGTGGTGCCAGCATCCCTTCGTGCAAAAGTGCTGAGACAGTTCCATCTTGGTCATCCTGGGATTAAACGAATGAAGTCCATAGCCAGAAGTTATGCATACTGGCCTCACATGGATCAACATGTCACAGCGTTGGTTGAAAAATGCATGCGGTGTCAACAGGCGGCAAAGATGAATGCCAAAATTCCGCCGGTTTCATGGCCCAAACCTGAGCATCCTTGGTCCAGGATACATGTCGACTTCGCTGGCCCAATAAATGGAACTATGTATTTAATTGTCGTCGACGCCTTTTCTAAATGGCCGGAAATCAGCCCCGTTACGCCGCCCACTACAACTAAGACTATACAGCTCCTAACTGAAATTTTCTCACGGAATGGCATACCAGATGTGATCGTATCCGACAATGGCTCTCAATTCACCTCTTCCCAATTCCAGAATTTCTGTCAACGGCTAGCTATTAAACACTTACGCTCGCCACCATACCACCCGCAATCGAATGGGCAGGCGGAAAGGTTTGTGGATACGTTTAAAAGAGCACTGCTCAAGTCAAAAGGGGAGGGGACACCAGCCGAAACGTTACAAAATTTCTTGTACGTCTATCGGACAACACCAAATGAATTGTTACCGGAGCAAAAGTCCCCAGCTGAAATCCTGATGGGAAGAAGATTGAAAACGATCCACAGCCTGATGCATCCGACTAATGCACCCTCATCAGTAAAGACAAAGCAGCAAAGACAATCCGCTTACGAAGTAGGATGCCCTGTGTTTGCCCGCGACTACAGAACGAACCATGGTCCTTGGGTAGAAGCGAGAGTGGTCAGAAGGGTTGGTCGAGTTATGTACGAAGTAGAGGTAGGAGGTGATAAATGGTCACGTCATCGCAATCAGATACGCAGACGGCTAGCCCCAGATCGCCCATCAAGAGCAGAAAGCCTTCCCCTTGACATCTTGCTTGATACCTTCAACCTACCGAGAGCCCCGCCACGAGAAGAAACTCAGCAGCAAGCTGTTCTTCGTTCCCGAAGGTATCCCCTCAGACAGCGGCGAACAATAGTCAAGATGCAAGTCAACCACAGGAGAACACGCTATTAAAAAGGGGAGGAGTGTTGGGGATGTTAGATCCCCAAAATTCGCTTGATAATGCCGTATTTCGGTTTTCACGTTCGCCAGCAGGGGCTGATCAAATGACCTTGAGATTTCAATTCCCACCAGGAAAATCCATGGCTGTGATTGGCTGCTGTGTATTTTAGTATGCTATTTCCTTAACTGTCTCAAGGACGTTGTTATGTTGTATAAATAAACGAGAGTTGTATGCTTGATTGTACTGGGATTGCTGGGTGCTTGTAGAATATACTTTCAACGCTTACCAAGACTTCTGTTTTACCGTTTGGATTCAAGGTAGCTTTCCTGGAAGCTGGTAAAAGTCTCGTTCGCGTTTATCGACTAAGGTAAACTCGTAATAGCCTCAAGCATCCTAAGTGACGAACATATCAGTGGCGACGGGGTAAAAACCATATCCACAAAACATATCATATAGTATGTTGCTTAGATTGTTTGCAGGATGCGTGTTCCAGTTTTCTCAGTCTAGCAATTCACGATTCTGTCCAAATATGATATATATCTGTACAATCCAAACAATGTATGCCAAGAGTAATAGGAAGAGTAATAGGAAGATCGTTATGATCTGTGAACGTAGATAACAGTTATATCGAAGATCTATTCGTTCGCTAGCCGATCAAGTGAAAAAGAGGAGTGTTCGAGCAGCAATGGTATTTAAGAGCAAGTTACGAACGAAATAACGATTGTCAGTTACAACGTTGAACTTCATACGTGCGTACATCAGTACATGTTGCCATAACACATCAGCACAGAGAGGCAACTGTCAGTTCTAATCCCGTAGTGGTGGTGATAGTAGAAGAATTACTGGTGATGGTGAATATTTCGGATCGGAGATATTATTCAAGAAGTATTGGTCTGTGAAATAACTTTAGAAAGAGAATGAGATGATGAGGAATTCAGAAGGTTAGAATTTGAGAGAACATAAACAGTGGATACATCTGCGCCATTGCAAACGATTCTCAGTCATGTTGTTCAAGGTCTTTAACCATTGGTGACTTTCGTCTCGCGGACCCCAACCAGGTGGCCTACATCTACCAACATGACTCAGTCCACTTGTCAATGACTTCATGGATTTGTGACATGTTTTGGTTTGGCCACCCGTATCTTTCTTCCAACCTACTCCTACACCACAAAACATAGCTCGTCGAGATTGTCGGTGGTTAGCCATAAGTAACACATGTCCCAACCACCTCAACTGATGAAGTTTCACTACTTCATCTATTGATCTACAATCCTTACCTAGTTCTCGATCCCTAACTATAGCACAACGATGTAAGATCAAGATGTAAGATCTGTTAAACACTTCCACAACATCAAATGATTGTTCCTTTTGTTTCATTCATCTTATGTAACAGTACTGATTTTATTTTTAAAATCACATATGTTTATTTGTGGTTTTTTTCCACGGTACAAAATGTCAGATAAGTATATATATATAATCAGTTTCCTGAGATCCTTTTATATGCGTTTATAGAGTTTAAGTAGTTATGTTCGTTATAGTTGCTCAGTTGGTCTATTTTTCAAAAAAAATCTTACTTTGTCGTACTTATTATAATCGAGTCGTCGAATCAATTTTGCTCATGAGAAGAATCCATAGATTCGATAATATCAATTATGGGTAAGGTGTTCAATGAACTTCGTGGTTCCGTGTACAACACAGAAGATACTGAGTCACATTTTTTGATGTAAAACTTCACTTTTATTTACCCTCCCCCCTAACCTCTAAACACAGTCTATCATGGAATATTTTCATGCAAAACTTAATAATATTTATTTAGTATTGTAATTTTGTAAATCCTCTTACTTAATGTAATTCATAATAGAGAAAACTCACGTGAATGTGCTTGTAAATGTTATCTTTTTTTTGTCTATCCAATCAATCACAGAATGTTGTAAATAACCTTGAGTAAAAAAAGTAAGCATTTGGCAAGTAATAATAATAATAATAATAATAAAGTCTACATGTTACGTAGAGCTTGTAAGCTTAACAACAACATCAGAGGATGATGCATGAAACAGGATTTGTTAACTGTGTGTGAACCAACCATATTAGCTTTAAAGAATATTATTAACATGTGCAATTTCATTTGTCACACACAATTACCACTGTTTTCAAATCACATTACTTACTTACTTTAATTTTTTTTTTAGCCAACAACTATTATGCCTACTAGCTCAATTAGCACGAAGAAATCAAAATCCAAAATATTACAGTGCTGGATTACGTCATATTAATCGTTTGTTTATTAATGCTCAAAAAATTACGCCTACAACAACAACAACCACAACCACAACTACAGAAGTAAATGATGCTACAATTCATAACTCAAATAATGCATCATCCGAGCATAATTTTAAAGCAAATCAATCTAACGAAAAAAATCACGAAGATGCAAATCATAAATTGGAAAATTCCAATCAGATGAATTGTGATAATCATTTGTCGACTGAAACGTTATCCGATCTACAATCGATTTTTCGTATTAAAAATGGATTTAGCCTTTTGGATAAAGAAGTGAATGTAAGTTTTTTAAAAGTTGTGCTTAAAATTTTTTTATGAGAAAAGTGAATTTTCTATTCACATTCACATATATGGTTTACTTATCAACTAACCAATCACAGTTTTACAGTATTATATTCTTACGTAATTTTGAGCCATTGTCATGCGTTACAAAATGTTACTTGAAGGATTGGGTTGCTTCGGTACCGGAACTCTAGTGATAGGGAGTGAAGTAGTTGAGCATGTTGGTCGCTTCACTTAAATAGGGAGTCTTATCATTGATGATGGCCTGGTGTGTGACGATACCTCAGTACGGATACAGAAGGTTCGATTGGTTTCTGCCAACTTGCGTCACTTATGGCGTTTGCTGACTAAAGGACGAGTGTACTGCGCTGCAGTTCGCTCCGTCCTACTTTATGGCTGCGAAACATGGCCAATATGAGTAGATATTGATTGGTTGCTGGTTTTCGATCATACGTGTCTCCGAAGCATTGCTCGTGTATCGTGGGACAACCGAGTAAGCAATGCTGTCGTTAGGAAACGAACACTAGGTAAGAATGTGATATGTTCGTCACTTAGGATGCTTGAGGCTATTACGAGTTTACCTTAGTCGATAAACGCGAACGAGACTTTTACCAGCTTCCAGGAAGGCTACCCTGAATCCCAGAATCGAAATAGAAGACTTTGTAGGCGTAGAAGTATATTCTACAAGCACCCAGCAATCCCAGTGCAATCAAGCATACAACTCTCGTTTATTTATACAACATAACAACGTCCTTGAGACAGTTAAGAAAATAGCATACTAAAATACACTGTAGCCAATCACAGCCATTGATTTTCCTGGTGGGAATTGAAATCTCAAGGTCATTTGATCAGCCCCTGCTGGCGAACGTGAAAACCGAAATACGGCATTATCAAGCGAATTTTGGGGATCTAACATCCCCAACACTCCTCCCCTTTTTAATAGCGTGTTCTCCTGTGGTTGACTTGCATCTTGACTATTGTTCGCCGCTGTCTGAGGGGATACCTTCGGGAACGAAGAACAGCTTGCTGCTGAGTTTCTTCTCGTGGCGGGGCTCTCGGTAGGTTGAAGGTATCAAGCAAGATGTCAAGGGGAAGGCTTTCTGCTCTTGATGGGCGATCTGGGGCTAGCCGTCTGCGTATCTGATTGCGATGACGTGACCATTTATCACCTCCTACCTCTACTTCGTACATAACTCGACCAACCCTTCTGACCACTCTCGCTTCTACCCAAGGACCATGGTTCGTTCTGTAGTCGCGGGCAAACACAGGGCATCCCACCTCGTAAGCGGATTGTCTTTGCTGCTTTGTCTCTACTGATGAGGGTGCATTGGTCGGATGCATCAGGCTGTGAATCGTTTTCAATCTTCTTCCCATCAGGATTTCAGCTGGGGACTTTTGCTCCGGTAACAATTCATTTGGTGTTGTCCGATAGACGTACAAGAAATTTTGTAACGCTTCGGCTGGTGTCCCCTCCCCTTTTGACTTAAGCAGTGCTCTTTTAAACGTATCCACAAACCTTTCCGCCTGCCCATTCGATTGAGGGTGGTATGGTGGCGAGCGTAAGTGTTTAATGGCTAGCCGTTGACAGAAATTCTGGAATTGGGAAGAGGTGAATTGAGAGCCATTGTCGGATACGATCACATCTGGTATGCCATTTCGTGAGAAAATTTCAGTTAGGAGCTGTATAGTCTTAGTTGTAGTGGGCGGCATAACGGGGCTGATTTCCGGCCATTTAGAAAAGGCGTCGACGACAATTAAATACATAGTTCCATTTATTGGGCCAGCGAAGTCGACATGTATCCTGGACCAAGGATGCTCAGGTTTGGGCCATGAAACCGGCGGAATTTTGGCATTCATCTTTGCCGCCTGCTGACACCGGATGCATTTTTCAACCAACGCTGTGACATGTTGATCCATGTGAGGCCAGTATGCATAACTCCTGGCTATGGACTTCATTCGTTTAATCCCAGGATGACCAAGATGGAACTGTCTCAGCACTTTTGCACGAAGGGATTCTGGCACCACTACTCTTTCACCAAACATCAGACAATCGTTGACGATGCATAGTGACTCCCGCCGCTGATACAGTTGCTTCATGTCACCTTCAAACTTTTTCGACGGCCAACCGTTAGTGACATATTTCATCGTCATCTTGATGATGGGGTCGTTTCTAGAAGCATTTTGTATGTCTGTTGCAGACACCGGTAATGCGCGAACTGCGGTTGTCAGATAACATTCTGCGTGGTCTTCTACTGACAGAGATGCGATCACCATGTTTTCCTCAGCCGCCACTTGATCATTAATGAGTCGTGACAAGGCGTCTGGGTCATGTCGTTGTGATACCAGGTTGCATATGGTATTTAGCGGGACATCAGCCAATTTTAGCTGGTCGAACCAATCTAAACCAAGTAAATTTAGATCAGCTGGCGTTATATAGCATACCCCAGTAAACGACGAATCTCGGAAAGCAACTTTACATTCCAATTGTCCTAACAGACGAAGATAATTACCACATGCTGTACGAGGCTTTTGTGTTGTGTGCTGCAGGCTTGGGCTGCCCAATTTGGTCCAATTTTTGCGTGAGAGGATAGTGACATCAGATGCAGTATCTATTTGCATTCTACACAAATAACCGTTAATATTAAGAGTAATAAATTTCCTCTCACCTGGTGATGAGCTTTGGCAGGAAGATATTAGGCTCAATGCATTGGTACTGGATCTAGGAACAGGCTTCTTAGCACTTCTGGATCGCTTTGGCTTTTTCTGTAGGCAAAAGCCATCTTTATGACCGATGACTTTACACTTCCTGCATCTATGCTGCCTAAATGGGCAGTTCCGTACATAGTGCCATGAACCGCAGTGCCAGCAAGCAGAAGGTGGATTCATTTTGGGTTTTTGGGCCGAATTGGAATTTTTCTTTTCACTAATGGAATGCACGTATGATGAGAGGCCCTTGTTTTCGACCATGGAGGTATCATGCTTCAAGTTTACTAATCTCTGGCACTCTGCAGTTATTTCTTGAAGCGAGATGTTTGGGCACTGTTCAATTTTACTTAGGATTCTGGTTCTTATATCAGCATCGTCGGGAGATTGTAAGCTGCACACAAACACAAGGCACTTAAACTGATCTTCCGTCATTGATGATAATTTAAATCGTTCGCATTCACGATTTACTAAGCCAGCATGCTTTACCCAGTCATCTTCATTTGACTTGATTATTTTGAGGCATTGATAACGAATATTAAAGAGAGATGACTGTTCAGAGAAGATTTGCGACAGCGTATCAATTGTAGCATCAAAAGAGAAATCTCGTGGGTTCTTTGGGAGGATGAAATTACTATAACGTTCGTGTTCGATTGTGCCGAGCTTTCTCAAAAGGATTCTGACTTTGGTGGCGTCATCAAGATTGTTGAGGTCGACCTTGAACAAATCCTCATACTTCTTAAACCAAGACTCGAAAGTCACACCAGCAAGGCCATCAAAATGAAATTCATGAATGGAATTAACTATCGAGTCTGTATGCGGATTATATGAATCATCGGCAAAATCTCTGTGATTCAAATTCATTTGTTTCATTAACAGCTCCAACATACGTTCCTGGAACTGTTCATATCGTTTACCTTGACGTTCCAGTAAAGATTCTAACTGTTCAAGATTAATTGACATTGTGAATTGTGAGCCCCGTCGCCACTGATATGTTCGTCACTTAGGATGCTTGAGGCTATTACGAGTTTACCTTAGTCGATAAACGCGAACGAGACTTTTACCAGCTTCCAGGAAGGCTACCCTGAATCCCAGAATCGAAATAGAAGACTTTGTAGGCGTAGAAGTATATTCTACAAGCACCCAGCAATCCCAGTGCAATCAAGCATACAACTCTCGTTTATTTATACAACATAACAACGTCCTTGAGACAGTTAAGAAAATAGCATACTAAAATACACTGTAGCCAATCACAGCCATTGATTTTCCTGGTGGGAATTGAAATCTCAAGGTCATGTGATCAGCCCCTGCTGGCGAACGTGAAAACCGAAATACGGCATTATCAAGCGAATTTTGGGGATCTAACATCCCCAACAGAATGGCAAATCAATAGATGAAGTAATGAAACTTCATCAGTTGAGGTGGTTGAGACATGTGTTACGTATGCCCGACCACCGACTGCCTCAACGAGCGATATTCTGTAGTGTAGGAGTAGGTTAGAAGAAAGCTAGGGGTGGCCAAACCAAAACATGGCATAAATCCATGAAGTCACTGACAAGTGGACTGAGTCATGTTGGTAAATGTAGGGTACGTGGTTGGGGTACGCGAGACGAAAGTCACCAATCGTTAGAGACCTTGAACGACATGACTCAGAATCGTTTGCTATGGTGCAGGTGCATCCACTCTCTGTGTTCTCTCAAGTTCTAACCTTCGGAATTCCCCATCATCTCATTCTCTTTCTAAAGTTATTTCACAGAACAATACTTCTTGAATAATATCTTCGATCGCAAATATTCTCCATTACCAGTAATTCTTCTACTATCACCACCACTACGGGATTAGAACTAACAGCTGCCTCTCTGTGCCGATGTGTTATGGCAACCTGTACTAATGTACTTATGTACGAAGTTCTGCGTTGTATCTGTCTGTCTGTCTGTCTTCGTTTTTTTTAGCCTCTCTGCATAAACGATTGTCTGAAATTTAGGATTGATTGACTGCTTGAGTGATGATTGCTTCAGTCATGTCGACGACATTATTGTACTGAGTTTTCTTTACTCCCCATCTCCACAAAGCTGTTATTTCAGCTATTTTTTAAAAAAAATTGTAACGGAAAACGCTCACTAATATTTACCATACCTGTGGTGACTACCATAACGATTAGTAGAAAAATGAATTTGGTCTTTACTCATTCATCAGTCAATTTTAAATGCTTCAGTGCTGTTGTTACGGCTATGAGGGCGGATATCACTTCCTGGCAGCCCACACTGTGAGTGTTTCATTAGGAACCTGAAAAGGAGGTTAATTGTGGTTGGTTTCAAACGACTTGTGAGCGCGACTGCAAAGCGCATGGAACAATTGTTTAAAGCCGGTCATGCACTGCCTTTTTATGGAAATACGAATAGCCTTACCACCCGAGACAGAAATCCGTGAGGTAAGTTGAGGTGTGACGTTTTTAGAGTCGACCTTTGTTAACCCTATCCTTCCTTGTTAGAAGACAGCATCGCTGCAGATCCTGGTTGTCCGAGAAACACACCTTAATGCCGTTACACCTCTCTACATTCACCAATACGACTTCGCCCTCAGACCTTGAGTAGCTGCTTTTAGTGTTACCGTTCTCTAATCGAGCTGCTGGCATGTTCAAGCCAAGATAGTTCGGTTGAGTCATCACGATAGGCAAGCCCCACCACCACATCAAGGTAGAAGCTACGGTCAAGGTTTCAATGCTAAATGAGATCAGTTGAGATGTATTTTAATCATATCTAAACATCAAGTTCATTTATCGGTGGTGTTACTTAGTGTAAAAAAAAATAGATTTAGGAAATATTTTTTCCTGGTTGATTAATTTGAGTACAATCATCTTTATCATAACACCATTTCTTACTTCATTTTCATTATCTTTCCTGAAAGATTTTCAAGATTCTCGCACTAATTCGGTATAGTGTATTCGGTTCACGCATATCTTCAGGTCCTACTTAGATGGCGATTAACTGCCCCATCAGCTCATTAGCGATGTACGATGGCGAATTTGAATGACGCAGGTCTGAGAGTCTGACATGTAGTATTATTCCTTTCAGTACTATAGGCACACTTTACTGACAAGTGCAAACTGTCTTTGCTATTTTATGCAAGGTATCAATTTCATGCTTCCACGGTGTGGGCAGCCGGGAAGTGACAACCACCCTCATACCCGTAACAGCACACGAGACCAAATTGTTCAAAATCAAATCCTTCCTACACCCCCTAATACCTCTCTTATCTGCACGAATAACTTCTAGAGTGACCTTGAACGACATGGCTCAGAATCGTTTGCAATGGCGCAAGTTCATCCACTCTTTGTGTTCTCTCTAATCCTAACCTTCTGAATTCGTCATAATCTCTATCTTTCTCCTTCTAAATTTATCTCACTGAATTATGCTCCTCGAATCATATCTTCGCTCCCTAATCTTTTTCAGTAGTGCTAATACTTCTACTATCGCTATCACTGTTCGGTTTGAACTGACAGTTGCGTTTCTGTGATGATGTGGTATGGCAACCTGAACTGATGTACTCTTGTACGAAGTTCTGCGTTGTATCTCTCTCTCTCTCTATCAATATCATGTGTCTAAATACTATGCATCATTCCATGAAGTCATTAATGGTTGAGCTGATCAGCGTACCTAGACGTCCTCGCGACTTTCATAACCGATAGATAGTTAAAGATTTTGTGTAACACGTCTCATAATCGTTTTTACTAGCACAAATGTATTCACTTCTTTTTTTCATCACTTATATCCTAAATCTCTAAACAATCCCTATAGAGTTACTCTTCTTTAATACCGTTTAATCCTTGTTTTTTTTCCCTGAATCATTTTCTATGCTTGCTTAACTCTTTCTACTATCATTGATACTGTTACCAATACTACAACTCTCGATTTCTTTTTGCTAATTTTATCGCTCTGTGTGTTGGTTGGTATGATGTGATAACTGGCGTTAATGCACGCGCTTAGCATATTCTATATATTCGTTATAAATATTTATTTATCAGATCAGACCAGACGAGTTACAATTTTCCAAAATAAATAACTGAATGTTTAATTATTGAATTTTTCAGATAGTCTATGAAATTTTCAATCCGGATAATAATAATAATAATAATTCTCATAAAAAGACAATAATAAAACAACCAAATATTGTTATTGATACATCATCAACTCAAAATCATAATAAAATTGAAAATGGAACCATTGAATCAGGTGATAATAATAATAATGATATTGTCAAACAATCCAATTCTTATTATTATTCATTGCTTGATGAATCTGAACGGTTGCTTGCTTTACTTCATCTAGCAGATTATGTTACTATAAATTGTGCAGAAAATCAACGTCTACTTATTGAAAATCAACCAAATTTAATTAGAATTACACTTGCTTGTATTAATCTATCACCGGAGTTTGTTCAACGAATAACACCAACACCAACACCACCACCAACAACAACACAATCGTCGTTATCATCAGAAAATGTCAAGTTTGTGAATGAAGTGTTTTTTTTTCCGCTTATTGGTGTTTAGTCAATGGTTCTTTGTTGTTGAGAATTTATAGATATATTTACGTTTTTCGGAGTCTCATCAGTGCTGATAGCCTGGTGACTGACGAAATCTCAGCGTGGATACAGAAGGCTCGATTGGCTTTTGCCAACTTGCGTCATTTATTGGCGTAGGCGTGATATTCGTTTGCTAACGAAAGGACGAGTGTACTGTGCAGCTGTTCGCTCCGTCCTACTTTACAGATGCGATACATGGCCGTTAAGAGTAGATATTCGTAGGTTACTGGTTTTGATCGTAGGTGTCTTCGAAGCATTGCTCGTATACCATGGGACAACCGAGTAAGCAATGTTGTCGTTAGGAAACGGGTGCTACGTAAGGATGGCAGACCAATAGATGAAGTGGTAAAACTTCATCAGTCGAGGTGGTTGGGACATGTGTTCCGTATGGCTAACCACCGACTGCCTCGACGAGCTATGTTTTGTGGTGTAGGAGTAGGTTGGAAGAAAGCTAGGGGCGGCCAAACCAAAACATGGCACAAATCCATGAAGTCACTGACAAGTGAACTGAGTCATGTTGATAGATGTCGACTACGTGGTAGAGGTCCGCGAGACGAAAGTCACCGATGGTTAGAGACCTTGAACGACATGGCTCAAAATCGTTTGCAATGGCGCAAGTGCATCCATTCATTGCGCTCTCTCAAATCCTAATCTTCTGGATTCATCAGCATATCTACCTTTGTCTTTCTAACCTTATCTGACTGAATTATACTTCTTGAATAATATCTTCAAACCCTAGTCTTCTTCATTACCATTAATACCTCTACTATGTTTATCACTATGGGAGTTGATTTGACATTTGCGTCTCTGTGCTAATAATGTGGTATTGCAACATGAACTTATGTACATAAGTACGAAGTTCTACGTTACAACTGACTAACTGACTGACTATATTTACGTATGGTTGCAATTATTTGTGACCTGAATTCTGACACTAATTTTTACGACCAATTGAATATGCTATGGAACAAATCTTTCATCTAATTTTTCGTATATTATTCTCAGGTGAACTCCCTGTGTACGATAGTGGTAATAAAAGAAGCCAAATATATGGATTCAGTTGGATGAGTTTATTTCATGCAATAATCGTTCATGCACATAGACATGAAGATAAAAAGTTTGGAAAGCAAAGTGAAGTGGAGTGAGACCGAAAAGGCCTATGTGCCAACTCAATCTAACGAGGCATGTCTGACTATATATGGTCAGACAAAATGAACTAGACATGCCGATAGGCGAAGCAAGCATACACACATACACACTCGAATAAAAATACCAAACATCCTAAGCGGATAATTGACAAGGTCGAAAGACATGTCAAGAAGAATAACTAGGGAAGAATGGGTTAGTTAGTTTGGCCGAAGAGATTGGGACAAGCCCTGTGGGATCGATATTTTACGACGCACTACAAACCTTATTCTAGTTACATACCGTTATGGCGACAGTTCAGATGATACAACATGAACATTCAAAATTGTTACTCTTTGATCTACAAATAACACCAGCCCCAGTAACAGCTCATCAGCTCATTAAATGTCGACATAATCTTGTCAACCAATAAGATAAAAACAGCTCCATAGTCAGATATTAAAAAAAAAATCAAAAGTGAGCAAGCTGACAAAGAAAAGAATATACAGTTGTAAATAACAACCAGTCGAATTTTAGCTCAACACAGTTATTTGCTAGACGATTGTTGAAAAAAATATTATGACCCTTTATTCAATTATTTCATGGAGATCTTACGATTAGGACATTTGAGAATACAACACCCTAAAAATTTATTTGTTCAGACACACAAGTTAGTTAGGCAATCACTTACAACGTAGAAGTTCATATGAACGTACATCATTTTATGTTGCTATACCATATGAGCACACAAACGCAATTGTCCCGTAGTGGTATGTAGATGTAGTAGAAGTATTAGCATTGATTGAGAAGATTGGGCTCCGAAGATATTACTCAAGAAGTACAATCCAGTGAAATAAATTTAAAAAGAGATAAGGTCATGAGTAATTCAGAAGATTAGTATTAGAGAGTGGATGCACCTGCCCCATTGCAAACGATTTTGAGCCATGTCAACCAAGGTCTTTAACCATCGATTACTATCATCTCGCTGTCCCCAACCAGGTAGTCGACACCTACTAACATAATTCAATCCATTTGTCAGTGACTTCACGGATTTCTGCCATGTTTTGGTTTGGCCACACCTAGCTTTCTTCCAACCTGTTCCTACATCGGAAAAAAAATAGCTCGACGAGGCAGTCGGTGGTTAGGCATACGTAACACATATCCCAACCACCTCAACTAATGAAGTTTCACCACTTCATCTATCGGTCTGCCATCCTTACCTAGGACCCGTATCCTGACGACATCGTTTACTCTGTTGTCCCACGCTACACGAGCAATGCTTTGGAGACATCTATGTTTGAAAACCAGTAACCTACGAATATCTTCTACTCATACCGGCCATGTTTCGCAGCCATAAAATAGGACAGAGTGAACTGCCGCTCTTTTGTGTGATTTGCCACACGAAAATGCCCGCCAGGTGTCTTTCCTTTTCGCTCAGTCTACTTACTTGAGTATTGAAGTCACCAGCCACTATTACTACATCAATGCTCGTAGGTTTTTGAAGGAGGTTAGAGAGGTTTCTGTAAAACTCATATTCTACTTCATCTGAACTGTAATCAGTGTGACCGTAGGCAGAGACCATGAAGAGTCAACGGCGAGTGTCCTTACTGTCCCGTTCATTCAGATAGCGCATGATTGGCTGTCTACTAGAATCCTGTATAAGTGATCTAGTTCTACCGTATGAAGACCTAATGTGTATGTGACATAAGATAAACAAACCCTACTTTGATTCTTTCATCGAGTTTAATCACCTTGCTTGTCTCCTTGCCCTACTGATTTCAGCATTGAAGGTTTATTCTAATTAACGTTAAATAGATTACTTAAATGCTATTAAGTAAACAAGTGTTATGACTGAAAAATGTACCTACTATGTTAGCAGTTGTTTTCCATAAAAATTAACATTCATATTTCCGTTTAGTATCGAACTTCATATTAAGATAAATTGATCCCTTTTTTTTAATCTTAATAACATGCATCCTTCTTCATATTGAAGGTCTTACGAGATTGGGGCTGTTCGGGCTATAATCACAGTTCTAATAAACATCTAACTAGGAAATTTTGTCTTTTTGTGTTATTCCCTTTTTATATTATGGGAATCGACATAGTGTTTTTCTTATAAGAATCATGTAACTGTTTAGATTATACCACTAATGTTTAATTTACCTTTTCAATTTACAGTTTAATTATAGAAAAACAACGAAGCTTACATATTCTCGGTGCACTTCGATTAGCTGCTTGTAATTTATTGGTCAATTTAACTTCATTACCAAGTGGTCGACAATCTTTATTGGATATATATGGACCTGGTCCTATACTGATTAGTTTATCAAGTTGTTTATCCACTTCAATGTCTACTTTTTCCAATGTATCCACAACAAATACTTCAGGTTTAACCGATTCAGCACGTGGTTTAGCTGGGCGTTTATCATCAGCTAGATTATTTAATACAACAAATGGTAATACTACTACTACTAATAATAATAATAGTAGTAAAGTAGCCGAATTGACTCAATCTACCCTAATTTCATCGACAGTTGCTTCAGTATGTGCTGCGAAAGCTGCACAAATATTGGAATATTTAACGGAAAGTTCAAGATTCCTTGTAAGTGTAAATTGAACAAAAAGTAAAAATAAATATCAATAATATATTTATTTATTTATCTAAAATAAATCAATAAAAAAATGATTTTTAATTTTCAGATTTTAAAATATTATGGTGAATGAGAACACAGGTGAGGGGCAACCGAATTGTATTTAACGAAAATTACAGAGTTACTCAGTAAAATCGGAAAACCATATCGTAAACGGTTAATTTGCAAATCTTCAATCCATCATCAATCCATTGTCTGACATTTCACTTACTATTCATGCATTTCATACAAATTCCATTGTGTTCCCACTGTTCTTCCTTTCTCGATCTTCCCCCATCTTCTGCTGCCGGACATTACGTTTACACTCACGTCATATACTACTTATAAGTAGCTCGCACCACAATATCATCACTTACATGGTGGTTAATTTTATTAAAAATAATTCTCTTTATTTTTATAGTCATAATTTTGGTCAGACTAATTAATGTCTAGTTTAAAGCGTTTGAGAATGATTTTAATTGAATAATTAATAAATTGACTAGGAATTGTAATCGTTGATTTAAATTGATTCTATCTAGTTTAAGAAGACGTTGACTTTCAAATATATTAGATGTGTGATCTATAATACACTGGTAAAAAGTATTTTTGATTTTTAGTAATTGCTTTGATGACTTTAATCGTAGACTTTGACTAATCACCCCATACTGCGAATTGGTCAATGGTATACGATCAGTAGTAATATATGCTAGAAAAACATGACATTAATCAATATAGGAAGACTTTTCAATCTTTCGAGAGGTTGGTTGTGACATTAATAACTCGGTAGTACTGTTGTGAAAGAGAACACAGGTGAGGGCTACCGAATTGTATTTATCGCAAATTACAGAGTTACTCAGTAAAATCGGAAAACCATATCGTAAACGGTTAATTTGCAAATCTTCATTCCATCATCAATCCATTGTCTGACATTTCACTGCTCATGCGTTTCATATAAATTCCATTGTGTTCCCACTCTTCTTCCTTTCTTGATCTTCCTCCATCTTCTGTTGCCAGACATTACGTTTACACTCGCGTCATGTACTACTTATAAGTACCGTGCACCACAGTACTATCTCAGACTGTAAAGCTGATTGATTAGAGGTTCGAATCTTACGATAAGCATAATTCCGATTATGATTGCCAACTATTAGAATGAAACTTCAGTCGACTAAGGTTTCCTGTTGACTAACCGCCCCTCAACTACTAAACATCTTAATAGTTCTGATGTGCCATTTCAGATAGATAGTTTTCAATCACATATTGATTTGAACTCAAAACATTTCATTTTAATTATTTTTTTAGGTTTTAAGTGCTTATCAATACAATATTATATATAGCATGTGACTAATGCTGGAAAAAAAAAGCCTAGATGCTTTTAGTGTTATACAAAAATCAAATTGTAATTACTTGTGCAGATGATGTATGAAGATTTAGCTGTTAGGTTCGGTTATCAATTTAAGCTTAAATAGAGAGTTTGCAATGCCCTACTCTTCGTGATGATTCTTAGTTCATCTTAGAGTTATTGATTAATGTAGCCAGCTTTCAACTAGCCAGAATGTTTGAGCATCGAACTCAGTCTCATCTAATTCGGTTGTCGTAGACACTCAAAAAAAAAACTAATCTCTATATGAAGGGTGTACCTCAATACGAAGTATGCAAACTTGTACGCGATAAGGAAGACGTCAAACCTTTTGTGTTTAATAATTAAAACAAAGGTAAAGTTTAGGCCAAATTTATTTTTCTCATTATTTTCACGTGAAATGATTAAACTTTGACTTTTGAAACATTTTAGATCCTTCTTTTTAATTTCTAAACTATGATGCGAAAGCTACTTTGATTGATTCATTTTATAGTGTCCACTGTTATTAAGAGTATGATTGT